CGGCTGAAAGGATGCACGGAGGGCAATATACAGCAGCCGCCACATAGGCTGGCGTCGGTTTTAGAGTACTTCCACAGTGGAGCGTAGCATCCAGCAGGACGGGCAACAGGAGCGAGGTTTTTGTGTTCATGCAGTGTCAGCACAACACGTACAACAGAACTACGTGTCGTGTCAAGAGTTCATTGAGGGCTTTTGAGAGGAATGTGGCTGGATATGTGTTAAACTTTAGCGGTGATCAGGCAGCATCACTTGTTTGCCCCCCAAGCGCCAAGCAGCGCATTTTGTGAATACTTTGGTCAGGTGCTTTCCAGTGTATGCCGTGCAGTCGATCATGTCATTCTTCCATGTTATCTGTACTTTCACGAACCACAAGGATATCGGCATTGCTACACCTGCCGTACGACGGATGCGGGTAAACCTACCCGCGGCAGCACGTTGACTCGGCCGGGAAGAGGAGCCGAGAGGCGCTGCATACCATGTCGAGTTTGGCCGAGTTCTCGCCCGGGGAAGTGAGGAGAGATTCCGGGGTTTCCGAATGTTCGGACCATCTGCCTTGGCGTCTCGAAACCCAGGCCAGCTTAAGCGCCATGAAACCGAACACAGTGACATGGATTGCTCAGACCGAGGGGGTCGCCGGGGAACATGCGCCGTGCCGCCGTGGCTTGGTCCTAGAGGGTTCAACAAGTTTCACTCCTCGCCTTGCATTCATTGTTCGCCTCGGCCGGCTCTGGCGAGGCAATTGTGTTGTACAGAGTGTTATGTTGTGTGCATTGCGTCTGTACCCCCCTGGTACCTTCGTCATGGGCGGTCTGCTGTTTGACTTGATGCCTCGCATGGATTGACGCAGTGCGCCATGAGGGCTAGAGACGACTGATGATCGCACATGTCGCATGCATTTGACCCGGGTTGATACAGTCAGGTGGGGTTGCCATATCCCTCGCAGTATGCTGCGATTCGACCAGTCGGGTTCGTAGGCAGCGCTGGATTGACGCTATAACAATTGTTATACAGCCATGAGCTGGAAATCTCACACAAATAACTCACCCATGTTCGACGTGACGAGAGGATGGTTGACTTCCACGTTGACTCGACACGGCAAGCAGCCGGTGCGATTAGTGTTAAGTTCCGCTCATCCCTTGACAAACGCTGGCAGTGTGGAGTTTGGCTTTAAGCAGATGTCACGAAACCTGCAGCCGGTTTTCCCGCGCAGGAATTAGGATGGTTGATAGAGGCGCTACCGCTCTAACGTCCGTGAGATGGGTTGTGACGCAGTATTCGGTGGGACATCTACAACGTGGTGGTGTATCGCGAGCGTTCGTTCAATGTCAAAAAGCCGAGCCGATGCTCGATGGGGACAAACAATTCCGATGCATGGGCCAACAGTCAATTCCAGTGAACTGCATGCCCCACTGAGAAGCAAGTCAGCTGCCTCATCACGAGAGAGCGGTGAGAGGCCGACGACCGCAACTGTAACCGTACCTATTCGTATTGGTACTAAGGGGTACAGAGCAACACCTTGAGGCTTTGGAAAAGCAAAGTAAAAAGACCCCTCATCCTTGTCCGCTCGCGTGTTTGATTTCCCTGACCGTTGGCCTGGGTTCGGTGTTGGGGACCTAGCGGGGAGTGATCTGGAGTGGCCTGGATCACTTGGAGAAAGCGGTCGAGAGCACAGGAAATGGTGAGGGGAGAAATTGGAGTCTTGGAGAAAAAAACAGAACAGGCACCAGAAACGCCGAGGGCTGGAGCGAATTGCAGCAAGCAAACTGTGCTTGATTCGTTTGCAACGATGCTAGGACCAGGGCCTAGCGGAGTCTTGCGGAGGGAAGCCCTGTGAGTTGTGGAAAAGAGTGGACGAAGGAGGAGGCCGACTGTGGAGGATAAGAGGAGCGAGGGAAAGCCTCTGGCTCTTGGGGCGCATTCCGAATGGCTGGGATGAAGTCAGTGTGATGGATGGGGACTATGCTACTGTACAGTAAAACCACATTTTCCAAAAAGTCGATGGGGTCGTGGTGCGCAATGCCGGGCTTGCGTTGAGCGTCCCACTCGGAACTCCAGCCGAGCCGAAGGGCAGGGCAGGGCAAAGCAAAGCAGAGGACGGGAAGACGCCAGAGCCAGAGCCAGAGCCAGACCACTTGCACCTCACCTCAAGGTTGATGACGGAGAGTTTAGGGTGATGAGCACTTGCTGTGCTGACCCTACGGGCCCGAGGACGTGGAGTGCCGACTTGCATCATAGGTAAGTTGAGTGGACGATACATTTTGTCCTCGGTTCGGTGGAACACCCTCGGGTTGCAACACAGCTCAAGCGTGCTGGGTATGGTGTTCGTTTGGACGGGTTTGTGGCCCTCTCTCCAGGTAGGTATGGTGGTTTCCGCGGAGGCTTTGGCCCAGCGCGGTGCTGTTGGGCCTCGTTCCCAGCAACTGGCCGCAAAGTCGACGGCGAATGTTCCGTTCTGCATGATTCGTCAGTTTGGAGGGCGATAAGTTGGTGTACTATGTATGAAAGTGTAACAAGGAAAAGTGTAAAGTACAGCGGCTACATGTTGGACTCCGGTCGGCTAAGACGGATTTGTCGGATTAATCACGTTCGTCCCTTCCCTTGCCAGTGCCATCCACCACGTAAATCTCCCTGGGGATCCGTACGTAACAGCTCCCTGCCTTACCAGTGGCACCGGGCAAATGGGCACTGGATCTCGGAATCAAAATACAGGAAGAGCCACGCAGCTGGAGTAAGTACCGTAAGAGCAAGAAACGCTCGGCTGCACATCGCCGACCCATATGCCTGCCTTCCTTATGATGTAATAATAGCGCCTCGGTGCTTGCCCGAAAGCACTTGTCCGCACTTTCCCTCAGCCCGACGGGGGACGGAGACCAGGTCTGCGGGCAGGCAGGAGCTGCACAGGAAAACAGACCCGTTTGACGTTCGGGCAGGAGCCGGGGAAAGTCATTTCGAGTTGTTCCAGAGTGTTAAGGTACCGATCCCATCTCCCGCCGTCTGCTTCTCGTCCTCGACCTGACCTCGCCCGGCTTGCTGGACTCCCCAAACCGCCTTACTCCCCCATCCCGTATTCTGACTTGCAGACACTTGGACTGCTGTTTGGCTAGGCATTGCTCCGAATTCCCACCGGTATCATTCGCCCATGTGCCCGTACTACGTTGCATTGTTTGTCTCTTCTCTCTTCAGCCTCTCGCATTCCTGGTCAATGCGTTTCTGGTGTCCGCTACCCGTCATCGGACACTGTTCCCCCACCGAGACAGCTGGAACGTGAGATTGTCGAGGGCCGAGTTTTTTTCTTGCGTGTCGAGTGACCTCGCTCCTTTTCTCAAGCCCCTGCCCGGTTCAGGCAATTATCTCCTAGTGTCTGTTCTAGAAAAAGTGTGTCCCCCCACGCTGTCCACTTTCTCTCTCCCCTCCACAGTCTACACCTCACCCGCGGCACCCCCCTCCTCCACCCGACCCGACTGCCCTTGCTCTGCCTCCCCGCCATTTTGGCTCCTTGACCTATTTGGTCCCAAGCATCGTCATGTCCTTTGCCGCCGACCAACTGGATTCTCCTATTTTCCTTGACCGAACCCCGTTCTCCGTCCTCCCCGGGCCCGCGATATAAACTAGGTCCTGTCGTCGCCCGGTGCTGTCGCTGTTCGCTGTAACAACACACCCCCTTTCAGTCCTCGTCCGGCTACGACGACTTTTGACCTTTTGCCCAGGACAATCGCTTTTCCGGGACAGCCAACCCTCCGACCCATGTTCATCGTGGGGTTCTTGAAACTCTCGTGATGCCGCATGCATACGCACGCAACGCATCGCACAGTACAACCTATGAGGCGAGCGGTATCTGCACACCAGGCTTGTGCTGCGTACAAAGTTGCGGCATCGGCAATACATACGGCCATTCTGCGGGCATCGCAATGGTTACCGTTGCTGGTCTCCTTTGCGGTGCCGCCATCGCGATACAAACAGAAGGTACAGAGTAAGATCACTGATACAGCAAGCCCAGCAGCCTCGATTTGGTACCAGGAGTACCCAATCCACGGGTGCGGTCTGTCTCTATGGTTCCTGGGGTTGTGTGAGTCCCCAGTCCGATAGAAACAGGCAAAGACGATCGTAACAATCGACTGCACGCTGGCGCTGGTCGCTCTCTCCCGACGATCGATACCTGACGGTGAATTCCCAAAGGAACGGGATGCTTGTCTTTGGCACTCTTCGTGGGCACGGTTACCAGTCGCTGACTGCCATTGGGATGCTTTCATCCCCCTCAGAGAGAGTTTGGCCCTCCATGTAGAGCGCAACTTCAGTCTCCCATTCGTCCCACGTTTCCCCCAGATGCCACCCCTTAGCTTTTGGATCCCGCGGAGAGAAAGTACGTATCGAGGGACAGCAACTAGGAAGATTGGGTGCAGGGACACGGCTGTTTATGGATGTACCCCCTTCGGTTTTGGAACAGACCACCCTCCCCCAGTTACTAGTGGAGTACGGATTTCTCCCCGCTGGGTGCATGAGCTATACCCATTGGCTACTGTGATGACCAGGGGACGCCATCATTTGAGAGCCGGGTCAGTGACACGCCCCTCGTTCCCTACCCTGGCCCGAGAGAAGTCCGCTGAACCTGAGTCCAGGTACTGGAACCTGCTGAGCGCTGCCAGGGCGTTTTAGTTGCCGTCAGGCACCCCTTGGGTTCCCCGTTGGAATTTTTTACCTCATCGATCCCCCAGAAGCAGTCCCCGTCCTTGGTCACTTATAAAGTATAAGACAACGCCCTGCGTTTTGCTCCGTCACTTGACCTCCGATCTTGCAATTGAATCGTCTTCCCGCTGGAAATAGAAAACATCAGATCTGTTACTTCTCTCATCTCCAACCTATTCCGTATCCTCATATACCCATACCACAATACTATTTTGCTGGCTCCCCGGCTACTATCCGCCTCAACATCTCCTTCTCCGGATGATGCGATAGCGTCATCGACCGCCCTCCTCGAATACAATACAATCCCGCACGAAACCATGCTCTCCTACGACTCTCCTATGCCTGTCAACGGGCAGCCTCCCAAGTCCCCCTCGGGCCTCACAAATGGCGTGCAACAAGCTGTCGCCTCCAAGACCCAGCCCAGAGTGCCTGGAGTTCCGACCTCCGCAAACAACGGCGCACACGTCAACGGATCTCTCGACACCAAGTACCACCACATCTGGCTAGTTACCGGCCCAGCTGGCTGTGGAAAGACGACCGTCGCCGAGTACCTGGCCCAGGCTCTGAAGCTTCCCTACATCGAGGGTGACAGTGTGAGTGTTGAAAACCCGCCTTCTCGCATTCTGAGCTCCGTCTGACTCGCGCAAAAAAGTTCCACCCCCAAGCAAACATCGAGAAGATGGCCAACGGCGTGCCTCTGACCGACGCCGACAGATGGGACTGGCTCGTTGCGCTGCGCGAAGAGTCCCGCCACCAGTTGGCGGCAGGCTCCGACGGAGTCGTCCTTACCTGCTCAGCCCTGAAGCGCAAGTACAGAGACGTCATCCGCGTCGCCGGATACTACGACCGCTCGATTCTCATCCACTTCATCTACCTCTCGGCCCCCGAAAACGTTCTCGTACAGCGCGTGACAGCTCGCAGTGCTGCGACCAACCACTACATGGGCGCCAACATGGTCCACAGCCAGTTCCAGACCCTTGAGCCTCCCATGGCCGATGAGACGGATGTCATTAGTCTCGACGTCAGCCGCTCCCTCGAGGAAGTCAAGCGCGATGCTCTGGCCAACGTCAAGGCCGTGATGGAGGAAGAGGCGTGATCTATTAAATGTCTATAGCGGCGCACTTTGATTGGGTTTCGTTTTTGCGGATCATCCTACGGGATCATGGAGTTACGGGCATACAACTATGAGCGTTGGCTTTTGGATATTCACGGCGTCAGCATTGGGATCTGGTTTACAAAACCGCTGGCTTCGAAAAGTTAGCCTGCATACAGTGTACGGACGCTAGGGTGACAGTAGAGGGACTTGCGCCATAAAGGGCATCCTCTACATAGCCCGTTTAGTCAGTTGGGTAGGAGTCGTGCGACGTTGGGTGAGGATAATACATGGCAATACGGAATGTCAGGATGCGAGCAGTCCCAAACGGGGTTGGCCGTCAATGCGAACAGCAGCGATGCTGAGCTGGCGCTTGTTTTCTCGCTCATGCAGGGTCAAGGAACGGAGAATGCTCACTGGTCGGGGTCCGGCTGGAGGTTCTTGGGTTTCAATCACTTGCAAGTCTTTGTTGAGAATATAAAAAATAAAGAACTGATCAAATATCGAACTGTCACTGTCCCACCTGCTGTCGTACCTTGTGTGAATCAGCCAGCCTAATCCGGACCTCCAACCGCTCTCGACAAGGCCCTGTTCGCTCTCACCAAAATGGTAGTCGCACTGCCCCGATCGAGACGACTGCAGCCCACGGAGTGCGAAGCGTCACCTTGACCATCCGGGAAGTCTTCAGCATTGGTTCGCGTCAGCTCGGTGAAGGTGTGGAGAAGCCTTGGTCCGTCGTAACTGGGCCGTCACATTTTCCTCTTTTCCTACAAAGTACACCGAGATGGGGGTCGTTCATATGGTGGGCAGGGTGTTCGGTGGCCTTGTGGGACCCGACCCGGCCAAGGCATCACGCCGTCACCAACCGCTGCGGTGATATGCTTGTCAGACAGACATGCATCGGGCAGCAGCTGCCATCTTACAGGTGATCTCTACTGGGAACCCTTTTTTATTTTCATTTTTCCCGGAACGTACTACTCAACGGGTGCCTAAACAAGGTGCTTGCCCTTCCCCGCCCTTCCTCCCGTATCTACAAACCAGTTAGACCTTTAATTGTCAATGTCTAGTGATCCAACCCGCCCACCCACACCATGACTGCTCCCCCGGTCTGCGTCTCCGCGTCACGCGGCGCGGACACCGTCACTTCAACCCGCCCCATCGTCACCCTCCCTTCCTCAAATCTATCTACCTATCCCGTTTCCCTCCTAGGGTATCTCGCTCTCCGGTCTCACTCACTCACCCACTGCGACTCTGGGCACCCCCCATATCATCGGAGGTGCATGACCATGACGTCGGGCTCTTCCACGACCCTCCGCACCACCTCGGCGGCCCGCGCCATGGTTGCGCCGTCGACCACACGATGGTCAGCGCTCCAGCTGAAGTTGCACACGTGCTTCCTCACCACCCTGTCCGAGTCCTCCCCTCGAACGCCGGCACGGCGCGCATGCGGCCGATGCCGAGGATTGCGACCTCCTTGTCAACAATGACGGGCGACAGGTAGGTCCCGCCGATGTTACCAATGTTGGAGACAGTAATGGTACCGCCGCCCAGGTCCGCCGGCGTCAGCTTGCCCGCGAAGGCCGCCTTTTGCAGCCGCGTCAGCTCGGAGGCGATGGAGAGGATGTTGAGCGACCCGACATTGCGGATCACGGGCACCATGAGGCCCTGCGGGGTGTCCATGGCGACGCCGATGTTGTGCTGGCTGCGCATGACGAGGGAGGGCTTGGAGGATGAGGGATCGAGGTCGACCCGCGCGTTGAGGATGGGAAACTTGTAGAGCGCCATAGAGACAGCCTTGATGATGAAGGGGAGGTAGGAGAGCTTCGCGACGCCGGTCTCGCCGCCGCCCACCTCGGGGGCCGTCGCAAGGACGCGGTTGAGGCGGGTGCGCAGCTGGACGAGGCTGGAGAAGTCGACCTCGTCGGCGTATAGGAAGTGCGGGATCGTGAGGGAGCGCGTCATAGACTTGAACATTTGCTGCTGGGTGTTTGTGAGCGGGACGCGGGTCTCGAGTTGTGTGGCGGAGCCGGGCCCCGGAGTGGGAACTGCGCCGGAAGGCGGGGCCGAGGACGCCGCCAGCTTCTCCCCGGATTCGCGGCGCTTGACAAAGTTTTGCACGTCCTCCTTGAGGACTCTGCCGTCTCTTCCCGTGCCATCAATGTCCACAATGTTCACGTTTAATGTCTTGACAAGGTGCCGCACCGCTGGCGTGGCGAGCGAGGCATGCTTGCCCCTTGGTGGCCGCGAAGCTTCCTGTGCACCAGCACTTTCGGGTATGGCAACCGCCGGCTCTTGTCTTGATTGCTCCTGTGCCTGCTCTCCCTGTTGTGTTCTCGCCTGCTGTTGTTGCTGCACAGGGGGCTCCGAAGTGCTCGGTGCGGTCCTCTCCGCCGCCGGCTCGGCCGGGGCTGTCAGTGCATCGAGGTCCTCCTTCTTGGCCCCTCCCTGGATGTCAATGTCGACAAAGGGCTTGCCGACCTTTGCCATATCGCCGGCGTCGTAGTGCAGCTTCTTTACGACGCCCGAGAAGCGGCTGGTGATCTCCACCGAGGCCTTGTCGCTCTGAACCTCGCACAGCGGGGAGAACTCCTCGACGCGGGCGCCGGGCTCGACGAACCACTGGATGATTTCGCATTCCACGATGCCTGTCATTCGGGACTTGTTAGAGGTGTAATTAACTCCCAAGGTGTGGGGAGGAGAATTTTTGCTAACCTTCACCAATGTCTGCTAGTAGGACCGGTTTGATGACCCTCAGATGCCGCGTGTCATGGAACTGTCTGGAGGGGTAGACGCCAGCAGCTCTCGCCGCGGCCAGGCGGGCCACGCTCTTGGAGACGTGCCATTGCGTCCGGACGGCGCGCGAGCCGCGTTGCAGAAACATGTTGAGCCGTTTTTCGTAGAGTAAAGAAGAGGAAAACGGTAAGGAACGATTCGCATATTTTTTTAGAATTTCAGAGGAGGAGAGGAGAAGGGCACCTTGGAATGTGCGAACACCCGCTGCAGGACGAGCACGCTCGGCAGCGGCATTGTTTGTCCCCAGACTCGGCTATTCGCGGTGTTCGGCCTGTGAAGGTCAATCCATCTTCCCCCATGACACAATGCTTGGAAGTGCCCCGAGGGCAGCAAAAGGGTGGCCCGAGACCCGCAATGTCGGTTCAGTGTGATTTTTGGCTCCCCTCTCGTCGGCTCACTCCGCATTGCAGCGGCGGTCCACTTTCTTATCGCCCAAGACCCCCCTGTGGCTTGGAGGGTGAGGCGCAAGCTTCCTACCGACTTCGTGGAACGTCGGAATATGTGGCGCGAATTTTTCTACGGACAGGTGCCAGAGTGACCGGCCTCTCGACGATAGTTGGTATTATCCGAATCAACCCCCAGCCTCAGACGCAATGGCTCCCATCACCCCATTGCGCACAATGGCCATGTCCATGGGTCCCTCAAGAAGGGCCTTCTCCTGCACCATCTGCTCATGGAGGCGGCACCTGAGCACCTCTCGTCCATACCTGGCCAACAAGCCTCCGGCACCAGCCCCAGCCCCGGGCGCCGCTCCCCTAGAGCCGACGAAGCCCGAACTCCCTGGGTCGGCCATCCACGCCCCGCGAGCCTACGGAAAGAAGATCAAGGACTTCACGCCGCAGCCCCTGCCGCGGCCCATCGGCATGGCGCACCCGCCACATCCGGAGGACAACTCGGGCGTCGACAGGAGGTCGCTGAAGCAGCGGAGGGACGACTTCGTCGACTACGACAAGCATCTCGTGCGCCGCAAGGAGCTGTAAGTACTCAACTCACATGCCAAACTGGGGGGTCGAGCTGACTGGAGTCAATTGCAGAAAAGAAAAGATGGCCCGCCCCTACTTCCGCGACTGGCGCAACATGCAGTTCCACGAGGGCAAATCCTTCATCGCGCCTCCCTTGCCCTTCAAGGCCGACATGTCCCTCTTCTTCCCCAACTTTGTCGGCGACACTCTCGAGAAGAGCGCCAACAACCCGCGCGACACGACGCGGGCGCTGCTCGGCAAGGTGTCCGTTGTCGCCATGTACAGCAGCCAGTGGGCCGACGACCAGGCGAAGACGTTCATCTCGCCCGAGGCGAACCCTGCGCTGCACGAGCTCCTGGCCAAGACGCAGGGCAAGACCCAGGTCGTGCAGCTCAACATCGAGGACAACAAGTTCAAGGCATGGATCGTCAAGCTCTTCATGGGCAACCTGCGCAAGCAGATCCCCGAGCACCACTGGGGCAAGTACTTCCTCGTACCGCGCGGCATCACCAACGAGATCAGCGAGTCCATCGGCTACCTCAACAGCAAAGTCGGCTACGTCTACCTCGTCGACAACCTGTGCAGGATCCGCTGGGCCGCCAGCGGCCCCGCCCACCCGGAGGAGCGGGATAGCTTGGTGAAGGGCATGAAGCTGGTCCTTCACGAGTGGAACAAGGCCGAAAAGGCAGCGCTGGAGGCCGCCAAGGCCAAGGAGGTAGGGAGCGAGAAGGAGAAGTCGTGAGTGGGAGAAAAGTAGCTTTTTCGGGTGGCTTCGCAAGGCCAACAGCATGCGGCAGCCAGGTCATAGAGGGCCTGGCCCTCTTGCCTACGTATACCCGTGTTCTTTTAGTGTACAGTATGCACCAAAGATACCCTCAATTCGAGAAAAACGTCCAAAAAGAATCCCAAGAACGCCTCCGCAATTCCCTTATGCCGGTAATGTCCCCCAGTCGTAACGGCTTGTTGGAAGAAAGCAACGAACACAATCAAAACATCCAAAGAGCCGTCGTCATCTGAAACAAAACATGCCGCATTCCTCTCCCGCTGACTACATGAACCACCAAAACAAGAGGAAGCAAAATGCGATGAAGACGCCCATGATGATGCCGTCGCGGCGCTTCTTGGCTGAAATGCGGCCGATGAGGCTGTTGAGCCCGGGGACCTGGCTGGCGGCCATGGTGATGCGGCGGTTGATGCTGGCGAGGGTCTCGCGCTGGATGTTGAAGCTGTCCTGCACGGCGTATGCCTGGGAGAGGACGCTGTCGGCCATGTTGTGGCTGTTGTCGATGCGGCTGCGCTCGGCAAGCATATACTCGGCCTCGGCGGCCTCGGGGTTGTTGGCACGGTACTCATCAATGTCGGAGCGTACGTTGGTGAGCAGGTGGGCGCGGTCGCGGGCCTGGGCGATGGTGTTGCGCAGGCGCACGAGGTCGCGTTTGTGCTCGGCAAGCTTCTCACGGAGGAGGGCGAGGTTGTTCTGCTTCAGGGCGGAGGAGGTGAGGGTCGCTTCCGAGTCGAGAAGGCGGGAAAGTTGGGAAATGACATTTTCACGCTGGGGGAGCCATGTTAGTGATGATTGTTGAGGAGCCGGGAGAGGCAAGCTGGAAGGACTCCAATGGGGGATTTCCATCAGACTTACTCTGTCAAGGAGGTCTTGCAGCTTCGCTTCTGTTGTCCGTTCCTCCTCGGTGGGCTTCGCCGGTATATCTGCTACCGTCGAGAACTGGGAGTATGTGTGGAATAGCGTCTCTGTCTAAGGAGGCCGGATGTCAGGGAAACCTGGTGGAGATGGACATGCCGCTGAGGGTGAGGGGAGCCCGTACCTGTGTTTCTAGACTGCGCGCCTGTTGCCGTAGCTGGGCCCAGCCCGTGTTGCCCGAAACTGCAGCCATGGCGCCGCGGTGTTTGTTGTGGTGGGTTGTCTGTTTTGTCTGCTGCCCCCGAGGTCGAGGTGTCGTCTTGCGATGGGCTTAGGTATGTCCGTGTGTCTAGGACCGTCAGCAGGGACCAGATGCAACAGGGAGGAGCTCGGCGTCACATGGGCCGTGCACCTCGAATTGTTATGTAAGCGTCGAAGAGTTGCAGCAAGCCTGCAGTTGCGGGTCCAGTTGCATGTACGGATAGGTACCGGTAGTCAAGACGTCGAGACTAAGGCCATGAAAGGGCATGAGTGAAGGCTGAAGAAAGAGATTACTCGGCCAGTCATCAATAATGTAGGAATTCAAATCCAGGAACGCATAGAGGGTGGTGAATCAATCAGCTCAACAGCTATATGTACTAAGTTTTGTCCAGGAAACTGTTTACTTGTCCTCTATATCGTTCCCAATGGTTCCATCTCAGCTCACTGTTGAAGCGCCTTTCGTGCATGCGTTGCTCTGGATTCAGGGCCCCAAGGTGAGCAAGCACATCGATCGGTGAAGTCGGCTCGGCGCAGGGGCAGTCAGTCAGTGACAGCGGCTTTTGGGTGACGGCTGTGGCTCAGCAGCGCTGTGGCGCATGCCCAAACCCCAAGGCCCACCTCCTCCAATCACAGGTGGCCCCGCGCCGGGTACCGAATTTTTGCGCACAAACTCATAGGGCAAGTCGTTTTTTGTCCTTTCAAATTTACGATCGATCACCTCAGCCTCTCCCACGACGTGTCGATACTAACCCAGATATCCAGCGCCACCCCCCATATCAGTCAAGATGGTGAGTGACCCTTTGCTCCTGACGGGATTTGCGATGTTCGAATAGCCCCGAGACATTTCCCCCCGACGAGATTACGACACCCCGCGTCCGAAATCACTTTTGCCCCGACGAGAAACACCAAAACACTCATCTATAAGGAGAAGAACCGTTCCCGCTGACGAGAAGTTACCATGTCGCAGTCGTCCGGAAAGGTCAAGGCCAGCCAGCTCTGGAACAAGAACAAGGATGAGTTGACCAAGCAACTCGGAGAGCTCAAGACTGAGCTCGGTCAGCTCCGCATCCAGAAGATCACCTCTTCTGGCAGCAAGCTGAACAAGATGTGCGTTATTGTCCCCGTTCGATCCGGAAGCAGTGGAAGGAACCGAATGGTCAATGAGGAACGAACGACTGACTGGTGAATTTTTCTGCCTGCAGCCACGACATCCGCAAGTCGATCGCCCGCGTCCTGACCGTCATCAACGCCAAGCAACGCGCCCAGCTCCGCTTGTTCTACAAGAACAAGAAGTACGCTCCCCTCGACCTCCGTGCGAAGCAGACCCGTGCCATCCGCCGGAGATTGTCCGAGAAGGAGGCTGGCATCGTCACCGAGAAGGCCAAGAAGCGCACCGTCCACTTCCCTCAGCGCAAGTTCGCCGTGAAGGTCAGTTGAATCGGGGCATGTTGCGAATGGGTTTAGGGGGACGTGAGGAACGGCGAAGAGGACCGGGACATGACATTGGGATATTCCAGTACAATGTCCCCCCTCGCTTTGTACCTCGGTCTCCCGGATCTTGATTCCTCAACAGCACCCAACGCTATCAAGGAAACGTCGTAGCTGACAGACGATACAGGCCGCGTAAATTAGCCGACCGCTCCTGGGTTAGGTTTGGGGATAACGAAAATGGTCATGGAGGCGTAACACGTTTTTGGCACACGGGGATCCCGTATTACTCGATGATGCATTGCATGGTCACGGAGGGAAATTAAAGGGTTTATTTGCGCTTTTGTCATTTTCCCCCAAGTGCTGCAAAAACACAAATGGATTTCTCTCGAGACGGGTCAAACACATTGGCAAAACGAAAAAAGTCTGGATGGGGCTCGCAGAAATCCTCTTCTTTCTGTCTTTCTCACCCATACAACCCCCTTTTTCATGTTTTGTGGTGGGAGGGAGAGGTTTCCCCGAGTGTGTGTTGGTAGCATAGAGCTGCCAAAAATGTCAGATGGGGCCCAAAGATGTCCCGACTTCAAAAGTTTGCTCCCGTTTCCTCCAACGTGCTCTCTTGGAATTGTCACCAACCCCGGTTCTTGATACTCTTAATCCAATTGCCATTAGGTCTCCCTACACTCAGTATTGCCCTGACAAGTTGTCGGGTTTGATTCCAGGTTCCCCTTGTCTTCTACTGAAGCGTAGCCTCTCATATCATTCTCTCCTCGCACTATGTCCGACTGATCCGTCATTCCAGCTTAGTGACATCCATACCCAGGATTTGCCCACTCAACTTGTCTTCTGAACGTCGTCTCCGAGTTGGTTTGGATCTTTTTCGGGTTGGTCACGTTATGCCTCATTTTTGCGATAGTAGTTTGCGCTACCTATAGCTATGCTGGCATTCCCCTGATCTTCGCATGCGATTTAGCATCAGCGCGGTTCCCCTTTGTTCAACAGGCCAGTTGGAGCTATACGTATCGCAGGAAGCTCATCGGCAGAGTTGCTTTGGAGGTTTTCATATTCAGTCCGCGCTTTCGTCTTTAGTATCCTATATTTGAGGATATACCACGGAGGATGATATGGGAATGAGATACTCGTTAATCATCTATACCGCTCGGACAGTACTTCGTATTTCAGCGCTTCCATCAGATCCAAACTATAGGGATCGAGCTTCGGATTGTCCATATATTCAACACACAACATCTTCTGTTTTCAATGAGTCCACAACATGCATATCGTTCCCTGTTCTAGCACCTCAAGCTACATCAACAATCGTAGTCTTCATCCGCGAGACGCGACCAGAAAGAGGATGCTCCAAGTCGAAATTCTCTGTTTTGCAGCCACCACTCGCGGTGCAAGGCAAAAAAGCTTGGAAAAGAAGACAGTAGGCTGGCTTTTACTACAGCAGTAGACCAACCAGTTGAATCAGGAGCAGGCAACGTAATCAGCAACTCTATGATACAGATTAAATCCAACAGACTTGTCTAGGACGTCTTCATATACATCATTTGCCGGCACCCATATCTCCCACAAAGAGCCAAGGTGCCAACCTGCCCCCGATTGTCGTCGCTTTCCTGTCTTCTACACGTGAAGCCAGGCAACGTCAAGGGAAAACTTTCGTCATAATGGTTCGATGTTGTGCAATCCCAGACTAAGTCAAGGCTGCCGAGCTCAAAGGTCCTACGATAGACTCACCTCCTGAAATCTCCGTCACGATCACTAATGAACCATCGTCTCCGTCCTTGACTTTACACCCTTCCCTTCTTCGACGACACTCCTCCCCTTCCACGCCCCTCAAAGCCTCGAGAGCACCTCTCACATGTGCCAAGACCAACCCATGAGCCGTACGAGCTTTGACGACGCCTTGCCTCAAACCGACCCACATTACCGCAGTCCTCAACAAGTAACGAGGCAAACTTTGAAAAAATCGCCATCACCACCTGACTACTGATCCCAGCGCCACGGACCGAGTTGATCTCGCAACGCAACTAATCAACAAAAGATTCAAGCTTCTCGTAAACGAGCGCCAGACTCTCCTCTCTCTATCCGAGGTCGCCATCCGTCGGAAATCGTGCCCCATCCGACGACCTCCCGATCACATCTGTCTTGCTCGAAGCATAACGCCTCTCGTGTAAGAGCCAGCAAGGGAGGAACACTCGCCCCACCCGAGCTACCAACACGGTAATACGAGCCCTCGTGATGAAAGCCTTGAGACGAGAGTGTTCCAACACGGGACGCCACACTTTCACACGGCCCCTGAACATGACAACGTGATCGGGATTCTATACAGGAAAGGCTTGAATCTAGTGGCATCATGCAAATATGTCTAACACAGAATTTGCCTGTGAGGACTGATTATCTTGACAAAATTGTTGAAAAAGCAGGTGGGGGGGGGGGGGTCGTTCCGTCATTGCCTCTCTAGCACACACCTGTCAACAAGTGAGTTCATATCTGAAAGCCGAACTGATCGTCAGACCCCATCTCCGCAACAGAATCTCTTTATCCAGAGAGGCCTCGCTCTAGGAGAACACCTCCTTAACTGACTACCTGTCAAGTGACATTACCCACCAGCCTTCGCGCCGCCACATCCCGCCGCGTAAACGTCAAGCTTTTCCTCGCTATGTTGTTCGACACGAGTACCGTTGAGAACGAGCCTGGAAGTTCATTGGAGCCAAAGATCTCTGACGCCTAGCCCTACTTACATACGAGTGCCATGATTCCCATTCCCTCATGCTCCACGTTCTGTCTAGACTGCTTGCACCAACACCGCACTCTAATTCCAGATGGAGCTGGAGATGCCTGCTACGAATTTGGTTTCCAAACATACAGTGGGCTCATTAGTATCATGAGGAAAGGGAAACATCAGGCTACGTAACCCTTCTGGTGATTTGACTTTGTGACGAATTAGGAACGTGTCACTTCAACCTTGAGAGTTAACGGAACGCCACATGCAAGCCAGGGATAGATGGTGAGAGGCAAGACTGATGCACTGAATTCTCTTGGCGCTGTACCGCTATACCGATTCTGCCCATGGCCTTCTGGCGTGGTAACCATAAACTCATTAACGTATATGCATAGCGAGTCGCCCATCATAGCGAGCCGCCCACTTTTCCTTAATTCTACACTCTTCACCTTCACAACAACCTTCCTCTACGTACGACCATGAGTTCCTCTTCAAATGAAAGTCGCATTATCCTTGCAATTGAAGCTATTAAAAAGGACCCAAAACTATCCGTTCGAAAAGCAGCTTCTATCTATAAGGTCCCGAGAACTACACTTCGCGACCGACGCGCTGGACTTCTACCACGACGCGAAACTCGTACGAATTCAATGAAGATGACTCAGGTGGAAGAAACTGTGATTCTTGAACGAGTTATTGACCTGATCGATCGAGGATTTCCACCGCGACTTGACGACGTACGAGATATGGCCGATTGTCTCCTTGACGAACGTGACGCGACGCGTGTCGGACCGCGATGGGCAGAGAACTTCGTACGACGCCAACCACAACTAAAGACGCGTTTTCGACGTAGAATCGACTATCAGAGGGCATTGGCTGAAGATCCTGCAATTGTGCAGGCCTGGTTTGCCCTCGTACGAAACACAATCGCGAAGTACGGAATACACGATGACGATGTCTACAATTTTGATGAGACGGGCTTCTTGATGGGAATGCTGTCGCACGCAAAGGTTATTACAACCTCTGACCGCCGTGGAAGGCCTCGTACGAAGCAGCCTGGCAATCGCGAATGGGTTTCTGTCATTCAGGGCGTATGTGCAGATGGCTGGGCGCTGCCTCCATACGTCATTGTTAAGGGCAAATATCACCTACTCTCATGGTATACCAATGGCCAATTCCCACCCGAATGGCGCGTCCACCCTAGCGAAAATGGATGGACTACAAATGAGATTGGCCTAGATTGGCTAAAACATTTTGAAAAGTGCACAAAGTCTCGCACGAAGGGTGTTAAACGGCTCCTAATCCTTGATGGCCACAACAGCCACAAATCCACCAAGTTTGACGATTACTGCAAGGAACACGGCATTATTGCTCTTTGCATGCCTCCGCATTCATCGCACGAGCTTCAGCCTCTTGATGTTGGCTGTTTTAGTCCGCTGAAGGCTTCATATGGCAAGGAAATCGAGAAGATGATGCGGATGCAGATTACGCACATTACTAAGGATGATTTCTTTCCTGCCTTCAAGGCAGCCTTTTTTACTTCAATAAGCAAAGAAAACGTACAAGCTGGTTTTAGACAGGCTGGCCTTGTACCATTCGACCCAGAAGCAGTTCTTTCCCGCCTGGATTTCAAGCCAAAGACGCCAACACCATCCAACTCATGCCCAAGCAGCCAGGGCTCCTGGGACCCAAAGACACCAACCACAGCACATGACGCCGTACGAAGCTCTGCTTCACTTAAGAAAAGAATCACTAGTCATCAAGATAGCTCACCAACTCATTTGTACGAGGTTGTTGATTTGCAAGCTAAAGGTATTAGCAAGTTAGCACACAAACTAGCTCTTGTTGAAGCCGAGTGCCGCGGGCTTCGTACGGCAAATGAGATACTAAGTAAGCGCCGGAGAGCTAAGAAAACCCAACTACGTCTTGGAGGGTCACTTAATACAGCTGAAGCTGAGGCAATACGGGTAGAAAAGGGGGTTGTTGATGCTGGAGGCGAAAACATGCGTCAAGAGGGTGCTCGTACGGAGGGGGGTGAATCGCGCGGGCGGCGATGTGGTAACTGCGGAAAGACTGGACATAATGTACGAACATATCAGGTAGTTTGGGAGACCTCTGAAGAAGAGGCTGATGAGTAGTTTCAATTGATTTCGTACGATGTGGCTTAATTGACTTACACAAATGGCTGGAGGGTAGTGAAAGGTGGGCGGCTCGCTATGATGGGCGACTCGCTATGCATATACGTTACTCGATACGTAAACTTTTTCTCTCTTCCCCAAAATTCCAGATGAATGCCAAGTACATCCCTACCTGTTGTGTTGTTTCTTTCGCCGCCGTCCTGAACACCGAAGCCTGGTATGCCGTCCTGACCTGCTCCCCGTCTCTAACGCCGGTCCGGAATCTTGGAGCCCTCAAAGGTATCTCATAAGACGCTGACGAAAAGCGTTGCCTGTCATGCCAAAAAGGACCTGGCCTTCGAAGAAGGTCAAAAACAAAAGAAACCAGAATTGACGCCATCCACCTCGATTTGATCACTTAGTATTTTTCGTGACTCGGCCACCCTGGGTCTTCCTGATGGTTTGAGAAGGCTCGATGTCCGCTGCAGCACCGCCGTTCTCCTTGGACCTATGAGTCTTCTCGTGCCTCCGTTTCTGGTCAAGTCTGTGGAAGTCCTTGTCGCAGAAATCACACTTGAATGCGCCTTTGACATTGTGGGTTTTGCGGTGCTTCGACAGGTTGGAAGACTCGCCGAAAGCCTTGCCGCAGACGTCACAGCTAAGAGGCTTCTCGCCTGTATGGGTTCGCATATGCATCGCTGAGCCGTAGTCAGTAACTGTAAGGTAGCTGTCTGATGATTCTACTCACTGAGTGCGCTTTGTTGTTTGAAAGCAGCCTCGCAACCTGGATGCTGGCATGCCCACGGCTTCTCTCCGGTGTGGATGCGCATGTGCTGAGCAAGGGACTGTTTCGCGGACAGTGCCAGACCGCAAAGAGTGCACCTCACTGGCTTATCTTGATACAGAATTAGCAAACTTTGTGCATTAGCAGGATAGAACAGCAACTTACACCCGGTGTGTGTTTGGAGATGACGCTCAAGTTTGCTCTTCTGCGTAAAATGCCCATCGCGAGAACAACCCTCCCAATGGCATTTAAAGCCGTTGTCCGTCTTGTTCAAGTTCTTGAGATGCTGTTCGCGACAATGGTTCTGCAGACCCTCGTCGTCTTGGAAGACTAGACCACAGGCCTGACCACCCTCTTCCTTGTGCCACTTGCAAACGAACTGCTCCGATGTGATGGAGCTAGCCTCAGAAGGGATGGTATTGGGGGATGCTACTGGCGATGAGGCCGTCGGGGGTCTCGAGATAGAGGAGTTTGTTGAAGACTCCCTGTTACGGGGAACCTTCGTAGAGACTTGGATGGTGTTCGGTGACTGTGGATGAGCATGTGTGTGTTGATGTTGAGAAGCCATCAGAGGCAGTGTTGGTGGATGTGCTTCGGGGAAAAATTCAAGATGCTCTCCTACGTGTTGGTGCTGATGCTGCGTAAAGATATGCTGAATAAGATCCGTAGTGTTGTTGAACTCAGCACCGCACGCAACAAAGTTTGTCTGATCTGAGGGGACGCAAAAATACTCCTGACCTGGATGGGCATACACCTGATGAGGCATGGGGCACTTCGTGTTGTCGAAAGGTAGATTCTGCTCCATCAAGCAGGGACGCACACAAGCCCCTGAGGAGTGTTCGTTGGCAATGTGCGCCGCCCATGATGCCCAGTCAAAATTGCCGTCCATACTTGCATCCATGTAGGTGGCCGGAAGAGAGTCGAGGTCGCACTGATAGAAGCCATCCATGTTCATCGACTGGACCATCGTTGAGGGCAATCCCCCATTGTGGAACGAACTTTGGCCGGCCGCTGTCATCACCCCATTGTCGAAAGAGCTCTGGTTCGAAAAGAACTGTGAGGTTTGCAGGGATGGCATCGAGGTAGCTATCCCATCTCGCCCCAGAGCGTTTTCTCCGCCAAACGATGCCAGCACGCCGGCAGCAGCCTTGTCTTTCTCCGAGAGCGAGCGAGCCAGACACTCGGCGTCTTCACAGGGCGAGGCAGCCCGCTCGCACTCATCGTCGTCGCAGGCCGGACCGCACTCGGCATCTCGACAGATATCGCCGGCTTCGCTAGCGCCGCAGTCGCTCGCGCACTGATTGCAGTCCAAACTGCTACACGCCGCTGAGGTACTATCGTCCTCGACGTTGGTACTGGAGTCGGTATGGATCATGGCGGCGAAGTCCACGTGCGCGGTTGGTGACATGAGGGCATTCGCGCCAAAGCCCACAGGCGACTGGTCCTTGGTTTCGAAGAAGTTGGGTATGCCGGGCATTGTAGAGATGCTGTGGTGTCTTCGCTGAAGCATCGGTATTGAGCTCAAGTTGATTCGAGGGTGGTTATGGTTTGGAACAGGGTGATGTTGGTGGTTGTTCTCGAGGCCTCTGCAAGCAACGTGGTCGTACTTCAGGTCCAGACAGGACTCATCATGAGAAATTGAGAGTGTTCCACCAAGAAAGTGATCGTGGTCGTGATCTGGCATCATTGTTGAGTAAGGCATGTTGAAGAGGGTCTGGTTGGGATCGAAGGCCGTCGAGAAGTCATCTTGATGGTCGTCCATGGCTCGGTTATGGAGAACACTCCAAAGTTATCCATGCGCCTGGGAGAGGGTCACACGATGATCGTCGTTGTCGGTGGCTTGGGCCACTGGACTGACGAGGTTTCTTGGAGGAGGATGACGGGGGGACGGCGGGAGAATGACAAGGACGAGGAGAACGGGTAGAGGGGACGAAGAGCCGCAAAGGTAAGATCCGAGATCTGGAGACGGAGGTTACCAGGAGTCGGGGAGGGTAGATGTAGTAGTAATAGTAATAGTAATGGTGCCTGTGGCGTGGAGGTCCAACAACGTTCCGACGAAACAGGGGACCAGATCGGTGCAAAGCAGACAATATGAGAGTGGGATGGCGGCTTGGGAGAGAAACGAGGCGAGGCGAGACAAGGCGAGACACCCGTTGACAAGGCTTGTGGTAACGGGAAACCAAGAATGGACGACCGGATTGGACTGGAGACCAGCGGTTCGTCAAGGAACCAGAGGGCAACCAGCAGCGGTTGCCGTTCCTCTGAACCCACGTTGTGGGAAGGCGGTGTTGCAGGCGCGATGCCCAGTTGTGGTGCGGTGCGTGAGAACCTTGATGGCCTCTGGCGCGAAAATGCGGCCTCTCTGTCTGGTGACGGAGGGGCTAAACTTGCCAGCGTAACACCGAAATCCCTGTCGCCTCTGTCAAACACTATGCAAAATGTACGGTTATGATCTAATAGGACGTACCTGTCGGTCTAATGGTGTAGCGACGATATTGCGTTGGGCCCCTTCTTTCCCAGTCTCTATATTATTTTTTTGCGAAGTGATGAGGATTGACTCGGTCGCCCACAACGAATGAGTTTGTCGCGCTCCAGGGTTGTCGAAGACGATGACTCCTCCCCCCTTCATATAGCCGTCGAAATCGGCATCGAGCCTCCTCTTCCAAGTCGTTCAGAACCTTATTTGGCGAGAAAACGATAGGCATATCGAAGAACCCTCCTGCGGTCCTTCTCATGCCCTCATCCGTGTCTCTCGAGAAGGCATTTCCGCCAAGCACCACGGCTTCCCTAACCTCTGAGAGGCTGACAGCGTGGGGGTGCGGGGCCCACAAGGGGCGTGTAATCAATGGCTCGTGGTTGGCAAATGGCCCACCGCGGTGGCCTTTCCCAGCGGGCGAGCAGCTTCTCATTGGACAGAGTGTTTCCCAGCTACGTGTACGTAAGCAGGCTTTCATGACCCCGTTGCTGCGCAGTGTGCTCTGGGATCTGTGCGCCGCCGCGAACCGATCCTCGTCGTCCAAACCTACACCCATCCCGTGTAAGGCATGCGGGTAAGGCAGGACGGGCAGAAGGGTAAGCTTCGGCTTGTTTCTCTCTATCTCCGGAACAACTACACCCCTGGTCGTCATCCTTACATCCAAACAACCATAGCAAGGCGTCTCTCATTTAGACGTAAACTTTGATACGCCATCGGCTGTTTCCCCACGATCTGAACGCAACACCAACGCCTCAACTGCTGCCAAATATCTTATCCGAACTCGCTCTGTCGCCCTAAGCAGCCTTCAGCCTTTACCGACACCAGCCACACAGTCGGGGAAATGGCGATCAACGTACGTTGCCGCTCGTATCGCCTTCAATCAAACCTCGTGGCTGCGTCTTCCATCGCCTACATAGCTTTAAACTGCGGGATCCGATGGCTAGAGTCGTCGGAAGATCCACAAGCTAAGCTTCTGCGAGCTGGTCAGTTGCCCTGCAAAAAGCAAAAAGTCTAAAATCACACGTGCCAAGCGCCAACACCTCAACGCTAAAGGATGCCACGCATCATCTTGACACTAAACCATGAAGCCACAGCTTGACTTGACTTCGGGCTTTTGCAGCCACGATTCTGATTCCGCTACCTAGACCCATTCCTATTTACTCCGGATATATGTTGAATATCACTGCCCTTCGACGCTATGGCCTCTGAAGCCTCTTCTGCCCCTCTGATTGCAGCGGCTTCCCCGGCCGAACATCGCCTTATTGGCGGGACATATCACGGCTCTGCTCATCTCCGCTCGTTGTCGAAGTTTCAGCAGCCGATTTTCTGGCATGAAAATTTAACTTTTCCCCTCAGGACCAAGCCCGCCCAATCTCAAAATCAAGTTGAAATTCCCTAAACACCGAAATCACAAGAGACGCTTAATGGTGGAAGAGGCGGATGTTCTGCTCAACAAACGTAATGCCGAGCTTCTCCGCAGTCTCAAAGACGGCGCCATCGTTCTGGCTGCCGCCAGGAGCGGCGATGTACTTGACACCAGATCGAGATGCGCGGAAGACATTGTCGACGAATGGGAACTAAATATTGTCAGAAAGTTTGCATGTGAACCGATACGAAGTTTACTTACGAAGGCATCACTCGACACAGCGACGTTGGTCAGCTTGCCAAGCCACTCTTCCCTCTCGGCGTCAGTGAAGGCAGGAGGGACCTCCTCGAAGACGGCCTCGAACATGTCACGCTCCGCGCCAGACTTGGGGAGCTCGCCACTGACCAGGAGGTCGATGGCGTTGCTCTTGTCCGGGCGCTTGGTGCCCTTCTTCCACTTGATACCCAGAACGCGCGGGTGGAAGCGGAGCCACCAGTTATCCGCCTTGTCACCAGCGAGACGCGTGCAGTGGATTCTGGACTGCTGGCCCGCGCCAAGACCAATAACCTGTCCGTTATAGGCGTAGCAGACAGAGTTGCTCTGAGTGTACTTCAATGCGATGGTGGCAACGGTCAAATCTCGGAGGGCGGACTCGGACAGGGGTCCAGACTCCTTGGGGGTGATGATTCTGTTGAACGACTTGGGCGAGATCTCGATGTCGTTGCGGTGCTGCTGCAGGGTGACGCCGTAGACGGTTCTGGTCTCGGTCTTGGATGGGACGTAGTCGGGATCGATCTGCAGGACAAGGTACTTGCCGCCCTTCTTCTTCTTGAGCATCTCGAGGGCAGCAGGCTCGAAGCCAGGGGCAATGACACCGTCAGAGACCTCCTTGGAGATGATGCTGGCAGTGGGGACATCAACAATGTCACTCAGGGCAATCACGTCACCGAAGCTGCTCATGCGGTCGGCGCCGCGGGCACGGGCGTACGCCTGGGCAAGAGGGGAGGATTCAATGCCCTCAATGTCGTTAACGAAGTAGACCTTGCGCTCCTCCTCGGTCAGGGGAGTGCCAATGGCAGCACCGGCAGGGGAGACGTGCTTGAAGCTGGCAGCGGCGGGCTTGCCCAGAGCCTGCTTGAGCTCCTTGACAAGAGGCCAGCTGTTGAGGGCGTCCAGCAGGTTGATGTAGCCAGGGGAGCCACCAAGAACCTTGTAAGGCAGCTCGCCGGAGCTTACATAGGCGGCGGCGGGCTTCTGGTGGGGGTTGGCGCCGTATCTCAGAGCCGAGTACTGCTTGCCGTCGGCGGCGTACTGCTTGCGGAAGAAGTCGGAAATAGCGGCGTCATAGTCTGCAGTGTGCTCGAAGGCCTTGAGGGCGTAGCGGTTGCGGCTGGCCTCGGTGATCTCGCCAGCCTGGAGCTCCTTGAGGAACTCGGCGTAGTCGTTGGGGTCGCTGAGGATGGTGACACGGCTGTGGTTCTTGGCGGCAGCTCGGATAAGGGTAACGCCACCGATGTCGATCTCCTCGACAGCCTCGGGGACAGTGACGTTGACCTTGGCAACAGTGTCCTTGAAGGGGTAGAGGTTGCAGATGACATAGTCGACCTTGTTGATGTTCTGGTCGGCCAGGTCCTTCTCGTCGGACTCGAGGTTTCTCGCTAGTATTCCGGCGTGAACGGCGGGGTGAAGAGTCTTGACGCGGCCGGCCAGCATCTCGGGGGCCTTGGTGATGGCAGAAACGTCCCTAGAAAGAAGTCCAGTTAGCTCCAGTCCCGGCCACTTGGAAATTTCGGCAAGGGCTGCAACTTACTCGACGGGGAAGCCAGACTCCCGGATCATCTTGGCAGTACCGCCAGAGGCGAGGATGCGAACATTCTGCTGGTTCAGGCCCTTGGCCAGGTCCAGCAGGCCCGTCTTATCGTAGACGGAGACGATGGCAATCTTCTGACCCGACATCTTTTGCTTTTGGTGCTCTCGGCAACGACAAGTTCTCGTTGGGGGGGAGAAGAATTGTTGTTGAAGAGTCAGAGATGATAGGAGAGAAAGGGACAGAGAGAGGAGAAAAGAGAAGGGGAGGAAAAGCAAAATTTTTGCCTTGCGCGATGATGCCTGTGGGCGGGCGGGAAGAGGAGGAGAGGTTGCGCAAAATCGGCTTCCGATCAAGGAGGGGGAGGGGCAGCAAAAAAGCTATGGAAAAAAATATTGGCTACGCAGTAGGTACGGGACGATCCCATACGTCTAAGGCGGTAGATGATGTATTCTCCAGGTATTGCCCCACGTAGCATTGCAACCCGTTGGAGAGGGTGAAGAAAGGGAAGGGGGAAACGCATGCGACATCAGCAGTGACCTCGACACCAACCACCACCCAGCGTCCACGTCTCGAGTGGGACGAGACCGAGGGAGCATGCACAAAAAGTTCACCCGCTCAGGTGCTGGAAACCTTACTACGCTCTCTGCGCAATTACATGTCGTATGGTGATGCCCAAAAGCGTCAAGCATGCTGAGCGAATTGTTTGAATGCTTGGCACAATCCCTCACCTGCTGAAGCAAGCACACCAAACCTTGCGCAAGAAAAAGAATTGGAGTTTCGGCCATTGGCCCGTCAACTTTTTGGAGCAGCCTCCCCCCGTTTGCTTGCTTCTTTGGAGGGGTCCCAGTGCTGTCTCGGGCCAATGAACCCCGCCCCCGCTGTGGCCTCAAGAGAATAAAACGGCCCAGAGAAAGCACAAATGACTGTCACTGCGCGGCGCTGGACAGGCTGACAGGGGACAGCCACTGGGCCCTTGTCCGCTGATGCGCCTTAGCCCCAACACCGCTAGCGTCATCCCCCTCCGCCGGGTGGCAGGGCAGGCGAGTCGAGTGTGTAGAACGTCGCAAGTCTTGGCTTCATATCGATAGACGAGGTTACCTTACGCGGCCACTCTGTTCCCCCGGCTAAAACCAAGCGTCCCAGACGTCTTTCCCGCATGACCTCCTCTCTACTTGTAGCTGCACAACATGCGAACGCTCCCATCGCACTTACGAACCTCGCAGACGTCAAACCACCCGTAAAGGCGCATTGCGACCAACGATCCCATACCTCCGAAATACCACCTACCCGGAATACACTTACGTATTCTCCGGCCCCGACTCGACCGATAACCTCCGCATTCCGACCTCACCCCGTCCCTCCCGCGAACGACTCGCGCCGAAACGCCCCTCGCCGTCGCGCACGCTCATAACCCGACTCAGTCCCAGAACGCATACCGCACACCTCGAACCGTCCTAATACCCGGAAATCCGGACTTTGAACTTCTGCCGTTATGGGCTCCGTCTGCGGCAAGGAGGACAAGGGGGACAACTTCACCTCCCCCGGCCGCCCCCTCGGCACAGCGCCCCCGCCCCAGCCAAAGACCGCACCCATCCCCGCCAGAGTCGGCGGTCCCCCGCGAACCCTCGGCGGCGGCAGCAGCGGCGGCGCGTCCGGACAACAGTCCGCCGACGCGGCCGAAGCGCGGCGCAAGGCCGCAGAAGCAGCAGAGGTAAGCATTCCTTGGCCCTCTCCCCCACCTTCTAAGGCTCTTGGCCTCCACGGCGCAGACCGCCATCGGACCACGACCTTGAGGAACCAAATTGCTAACGTATAGAATCTACGACAGGCCCGAGCAAAAGCTGCGAGCAAGTCGACAGGCAAACTGTCCTCGCAACTCAATGCGCAAAAGAAGCAGACCCAGGCCGACCTGCTCAAGGACGCCAGCGCCCAGCAGCTGAGACAGCGGGACGCCGATGCCGCCGCGGAGGCGAGGACGTACAACTAGAGCCGAGACATGTGACGAATGGCGCAGACTAATAGAGGAGGATTGGACGGACACAAGCGTTCGGCCTTTGAGGAGATGGACACTAGATGTTGAAGTGCGACGTTTTCCGAGAATACCTTTTGTGGGCTTTTGTTTGGTAGCTTTTAATTTTTTTTTTTGGCAACATTGCTGGAGTATGGGAGCCAAGATCTACACTACTTCTTTCACCCACTTATGAATCGGCTCGAGAGCCCACCGGACTTAGTCGAGCGCAGGGTACCATTCGATACAAGAGGGGTTTTGATTTCACAGTAAGAGAAGGTGAGATCGCTTGGAATGGGAATATTGGACTCAGTAGGCCTTGAAGCAAGAAATAAGACAAAAACATTAACATAACAGCAAGAATATTAGCAGACGGTTCTCGATTGCTCTTAGTGGTCGAAAGACCCTCGTAGTCTCCTTGCACTATCTGGGCCTGGCCGTCTGCCCTGTTTTTTGATGAGAAGACAGTTTTATATATAAACCGCCACAGCCGTCGGTTATCTTTGATTGGCCATTGCTAATTGGAAACTGTCCAGCCTGCTTATTCTCTCAGAGCAACCCTTGCTCGTGAACGCCACCGTTTATTGTACCTGTAAATGACCGATATACTACAGCAAGCGCAGACAGCAGCTTTATACAACGTTGTAACGTCCAGAAGCAGGAGCACGGCTGTCAGCCGTAGCCGCGGCCACAGTTCCTTCGCTCAGGAGTCGGGTGAGCTCGGTCATAGCGGCTCCCACTACAACTTCGGTGTCACCCTCAACGAGAATGTATAGCTTGGGATCTGCACCGGGCGGCACTTCCTTCCCAGCGGGATAGAAGGTTCCCTTGGTCGTAATCGACACGCCAGTAGCTTCCAAGATCTTGGCAACGTTGGTTCTGTTCGTGACGGCCCATCTGGCCTTTTGCGGGAAGTCGTTGATCTCGAGCGTGGCGTGATAGGCGCCAGCGTCGGGGCCCTTGTTGTCGATGGGCTGGCCTGACCGAAGCTGTCCCGCCTTGCCAAGTCTCTCGTTGATGTTCCTGATCGCTGCACTGACCATGTCGAGGGGTTGGCCTCCTTTGCCTGTGGCGGCCGGTGCGTCCTTGCTCTTGGCATCTCCTTCAGGCTTGCTGGTGTTGCGGGACACAATGGCTGACACCTTGGACTGTATATCAGTGACGGAGCTCTTGGCTTTGTCCTCCTCGGTCTTCTCCTCCTTGACGTCGTCATCTTCACCCTCGGCCTTATGAGTTTTGCGCTCACGGAGACGAGCAGCTTCGCGCTCGGCGTCCAGACGATCCAAACCCTTACCACCAAAGCCAGAGGTGTCTTTGGCTTTGCCCGACTTGACCTTCTCTTTCCAAGCTTTGCGCATCTCATCGAGACGCTCAGGAACAGGTTGACCGCTCTGCTCAAGTGCTTTGGCCACAGCAGACGCGCAACTCTCCTGTTCCTCGGTGATGTAAGTAACGGCAGTACCCTTGTTGCCTGCTCTCCCTGTTCGTCCGCAACGGTGGACGTAGTCCTCAGAGTGGGACGGACTGTTTATGTGTTAGCTAGTGTTCTGATGGTTTCTAGGGGAATGGAGAGGGGAAACTTACCAGTCAAAGTTGACAACCAACTTGAGCTGCTTGACGTCCAGACCTCGAGCGGCGACCGATGTCGCAATGAGGATGGGGACAATGCCCTTCTTGAAGTCCGAGATTGTAGAGTCTCTGTCAACTTGGTCTTTGCCACCGTGGATAGACATGCACGGGTAGCCCTTGGTCATGAGCTCCTTGAGCAAGTCATCGGCCTTTTCTTGACGTTCAACGAAAATAAGGGAACGTGCGTCTTCATCCTTGTCGTAAAGCTCGCCGAGGAGTCCTAGAAGATGGTAGAACTTTTGGTCTTCGGGGACAATCTCAACGATCTGCGTGATGTCTGATGCGACAACACTACGACCTCCGACCGTGATCTCGACCGGAGACTTGAGAACCTTCTTGGTCAATGAATCAATGATGCGTGGCATCGTCGCCGAGAACAGAATGGTTTGACGATCGGGTCGAATGTTTGCAAAGATCTTCATGACTTGAGGCTCGAATCCCATGTCGAACATGCGATCTGCCTCGTCAAGCACAGCGTACGTGACACGACGCAAGTTCGTAACGCGGCCCTGGTTGGCGGCGAGGAGGTCAATCATACGGCCGGGTGTACATACGACGATTTCAGCTCCGCGCTTGAGCTCGGCAATCTGGTCTCTGATGGGTGCTCCGCCGTAAGCACATACAGCTCGCAGGCCCATTGCCTTCAAGAAAGGTTTGCAGTCTCGATGGATCTGGACAGCCAACTCGCGAGTTGGTGTCATGATAAGACCGACAGGGCCGTCCGTGTCTTTGAGAGGGGGCTGGTCCATGATATGACGGAACATGGGGAGAAGGAAAGCAAGCGTTTTACCCGATCCAGTCTTGGCAACACCGACGACATCGCGGCCTGACATGATGACGGGGAGGGCCTGCATTTGAATGGAAGTCGGCTTATCGAATCCCATGTCTGCGAGAACATCAAGAGTGCGACGCGTCAGACCGCACTGCGCCCATTTCTGGACAGGCTTCGGGATGTTCTTGCCAGAGACTTTGATGCCGTCGAGCTCCAAACGGAGCTCGTTGGCTTCTTCCTCAGTCAGGGCAGCAAGCTCCGCTGGTTCGACCCAGAAATTCTTGCGAATAGGGTGCAGGTCGAGCTTGCTATAGTCGACGGTCGGAATGTCCTTCTTCTTGCGCTTCGCTGCCATGGCCAGAACAGCGTTGGGGTCTTTGCCATCTTCTGCCTTAAAAGCGTAGTCATCGTCACTGAAGTACGCCTCTGGCTCTTGGACCTTCTTTGATGATGTACTTGCCTTGGGAGCCGTGGGTCCGGCCTTGGTATCTGTCAAATCGGCCATGAACGCATCCAAAGGATCGACGTCGTCTTTCTCTTCAACATCCATCTGATCGGCTTGAGGCTGTTCGGCGGTGCCGTTGGTCTGAAGCGGTACGGCGTCTTGCATGTCGACATCGGGCTTTGCCTCTTCTTGCGCTTCCTGCAGCTCTCTCTCGCGCCGTTCGTGTGCTGCACGAGCGGCGGCAGCAGCCTCTTCCTCAGTCTCGGCGAAGTTGCCACCATCAGACTCGTCGTCCTCGTCTTGATCAGCATAGGGGGTGTCATCAGCCTCGAGGGGAAGTGCGGGCAACTTCGTAAGCTTCCTTTTCGTTCCCTCCTCCTCGTCGAGGTCCAGCTTGCGCTTGTTCGCAAGCTTCTCGCTGTCAGCTGTCGCCTTACTGAAACCAAACGCACTCAAGTTGCGGTTGGCAGGCAGTGCCGAAGCTGTTTTCGTTGTGTGAGCGTGGTTCTCTCCTGTGGGACATGGTACAAGCATACCTTTGGTGATTGGTGCGACAGGTGCAGTCGACTTCTCAGGACGGCCCTCGAGAGAACCCAGTACACCGTTTGTACCGACATTCTTGTGTGACGCTGCCGACTTCTTCGCAATAGCCTTAGGGTCAAACTTACCCGCAAAAGGGGCCGGGGATGCAGCTCCTGACGCGGTAGTCTGAGTCGGGGCAGGTGATAGCGCTCCGGGGGATGCAACGGCAGGTGACGCCACAGTGGGCGAGGCCACAGATGGCGAAGCGGCGGCCGGGGACGGCACGGACTTCTTGTCCATCTCCGCGAGGAGATTCCTAGTCTGACTTGGATTAACCTCATTCTCTTTATTGGCCTTGTTCTCTCTGCTCTTCTTCCATGCCTCCAGCCTGGCGAGTCGCTCGGCCTTCTTGTCAGCTTCGGTCTGGGCTGGGGCGGGCTTGGGCTTAGCAGCCTGTAAATCCGGGTTAGCGAGCGTAGTCCCATGATGGAGAAGGGCCTGTCTCACCTCATTACCGGGAGTGCTGGCACTCTCTGGAGGCGCCGCACCGCGCGGGCGGCTGTCGTCGCGCCTGCTGCGGGGACGGGAGTCAGCGGTTCCCTCTCGCCTTGCGTGAACTCGGTCTCTAGAGTCGTCCCGCCTCGGGCGATGGTCCCTGTCGCCGTCGCGGGGTCGCCGTCTGTCCAGAGACCGATCGCGGTCGGCATATCTGTCGCGGGACCTCCGGCGGTCTCTGTGGCGGTCGTTGTCTCGTCGGCCTCCGCGGTAGGAATCATCGTCTCGTCGATCTATGGAGCGCTCTCTGCGACGGTAAGAGTCGCGATCACGGTCACGGTCTCGGTATCGGCGCTGCTCGTGGTATTTGTCAGAATGCTCCCCGTCGCGTCTCCCGTGGTGGTGGTGGCTTCTCACGTCGGCAGGGGTCCTGGACCGCGAGCGACGACGGTAGTCTCTGCCGCCGTCATCGCGGCGGTCCCGATCGCGCCTGTCATCGTCTTTGCGGGGGCGTCTCGCATTGTATTGGCTTCCTGCAGGCGATGGTGAGCGCGAGTCCCTGGTCCGAGCCATGTTGTAGGTCTCGAACTCTCTGCAAGACACTACGTTTGGTGAGAGCTACTTTTTCGGCAGGTTCTTCACTCGAGGGTGTCACCAGTGCTGATTTCCAGCTCTCTTAGCTCTCGAGTGCGAATAAAATGTGTCGTATGGACGTTACGATCCCACAGTATCTGTCGAGCTGGCGATCGGATGGCGACAGGCAGCTGTTGGAGTTTAAGGTGAGGGGCGGGAAAAGGTCGCGACATGATAGATCAGATTAAGTTTACATTAATGCGCCTCCAGGAATGAGGCTGACTCCACCGAGTTTTAGCCGCGACGCGCACAGGCCACTTCTCTAGCCACACTGGGGTCTTAATTTGTGGCGCTCCATCACACCGAGCTTCGTTCACCTTCAACCAATCCTTCTGTGTATTCATCTGTTCACTCACACCACGCCCAAGTGCTCGCATTTTTCATACATAACATTGTCCTCCACACTCAATCTCAAACCATAATACACAAAAAAATGGGGGGCCTTGTCGCTTATGGCAGTAGTGATGAAGAAGATGAAGTTCAAGAATCCGTTCCCGTAAAGGTGCCCATTCGTTGAGAACCCTTTATTCACCCGCATCACTAACACATCGATTACAGACTGAAACTTCCAAGAAAGTTACAAAGTCCGCAGATCAACCAGAATCAAGTGAGAAAAAACTCGGCTTAGGAGAGCGCGCCTTCTCGCAGTCCGTTGTTGACCAGCCCTCAGATGACGCCAAGCCATCACAACCACCACCCACGACCACGGCACCAGAGCCGCATCCCTCACCAAACGACGTGACAATCGGCCCAGTTCAACAGCACTCAGTCCCTCTGGGCCCTTCCCTCCCGCCAATGGAGCCCCAACCTCCCCAAGGCCCCTCTCAAGACGACGACGACCCTTCTCAACCCCCAGCCTCGCCCTACACAGCCTCCCGCGCCCTCCTCCGTGACCTAACCCTCCCCCCCGTCCCGAACCTCGACATCCCTCCCTCGCCTCCCGGCTCCCCGCCCCCGGCCCTTGAGGCCAAATTCACCCAGTTCCTCGACCTCAAGAAGAAGGGCATTCACTTCAACGCCAAGCTCGCGCAGTCCGCCGCCCTCCGCAACCCGAGCTTGACGGACAAGCTCATGGGCTTCGTCGATCTCGACGGCCGCGCGGGGTACGCCACGACGCTGCCCCCCGATCTGTGGGACCCGATGTCCGAGGAGGTGCTGCCCGAGTGGGCTACGAGGGCCGCGTTGAGGCAGAGCCAGGAGAGGGTGCGCGCCGAGCGGGCGGGGTTGAGGAAGGGCGGAGGGCCCGTGGAGTTTGTGCCGGCGGCGACTGCCGGAGGCGCTGATGTCAGCTCTCCTGCTGCCGCTGAGCAGGGTGGTCTCCTGCGCGCGGGGAAGCGGAAGGCGGGTGCGTTGTGAGTGTGCTAAACTGCACCGGCAAGGCGATCCCTCCGTCAACTGCCTCGAGCAGCACGGTGGTGCTTGGCGTGGGCTCCGCCGTTCGCCAGCGTGGGAGACAATCCGCGACACTATGGATAGGTCATGATGCAAGAGGGGTCAAGGATATCTACAGGGCCACTGGACGTCATGCACTCTAGACGCAAGAGTCTTCGATCGCGGGCTACTTCATCGCCGGGCACTTGAAACTGTTTGTTACTACCTCACAGTCGATCTCCCGGACGTCTTCCGGTCGGTCATCCAAGATCTTGGGAGAGGTATGGTGTGGGGGAGGCGATGTACATTCCAGGGTTGTGGGAGTAAACGTCGGCTCGGCCACAAAGCCCGCATCGCCGCGCGTGGGGTCCAGATGGAGACCAAAGTTTACGACAGCGTCTCAGGTTCTTCTTCTTCTTCTTGGGAACCGAGGCGCGCGATGCCATTGGTGCGAGATCCGGGGCACGTGGACTAGACAGCCAACGTCCGATGCTGGAACGCTTTTTGCGTAGGGCTAGGTACGGCGGGAAAAAGCATAGAAATGCATCAATTGATACCCCCCTACAAGATGATGGCATTGCAAAGTGTGCCCGTGCATACGCGAGGGTGTGCTGCGAAGCACCCCGCCATCCGTCATTCGTGTCGTCAGATGTGTAGTGAGGGTTCCGGGGACACGGGCCGGGTAGAAATGAGTTTGCGTTATCCCCCCATCCCCTTTTTTAACGACAGCCGGACAAAGTTTTGCGTCACTTCGGCGCAGCGTTAAAGTTACCAGTGGCAGAGTCGACTTCCATGACGTCGAATTGTACGACTCGCCAAGCTTGACAGTGCTGTCAGTCAGAGTATAGTAACAGAGGTTGTCGTGAATAGTACACGTCGAGGTTCAGGGTTCAAGACCCGTGAGTGGACCCAAAACAAAGTCAACGAGGTATCATGATTCAGTACACAACTATCCCGCGACTTCATCGCCGCCGCTTCGTCTGCGTACGTTCAGCAACGCAGGAGGCCAATGTAGTCCAATTCTGCGTAATACGCTCTGTGCCAGTCCTTGCTTCTCAGCCCTCATTAAATCCATGAATCACATCTGCGCATATTAGATGAATGACCTTGTCTCCTTGAGTCGTGAATCAGCGTGTGTGAAGGCCCCCTTTTCATTACAAACACCATACAAATAGACCCGCTCAGTGACAAGCAACGGTGAGGTTCAGGGACTTCTTCAGGGAGGCACCAATGTTGATGTCGGTGACGACCGTACCAGAGGCCAGGGCGTCGGCCCAGTACGACAACCTCTGGCCGCCGCTGGTGACGTCCTTGCCGCGGAGGGCGAATGGGATGATGCCATTCTCGCAGGCGGGACGCTGAGCGATGGCGGCGAGGACGGGGGCCTGAGTGATGTTGGCGCGCATGGTGGCGTTGTTTATGCCCGGGTAGAGGACGAGGTTGTCAAGGTAGACGGTGCCAATGTCCTGGTTGTTCAGGAGATTGGAGAAGCTGGCATTTCCCTGGGGAAGCAGGTGTTAGAACTGAGCTGAACAATAAAAGGTGCATAAACTTACGATCTCGAGAGTGAGAACAGAATGGTTGGGAACGGAGACGTGGCCCTTGAAGTTGTCCCCCTGGGCGTCAGGGGTGAGAGAGATGGTATTGTCCGTGACATTGAGGCCCTTGAAGCCATTCAAGCCTAAGTTCCGTTAGTATGAGGATTCACGCGACCTAAAGCCTTGGTTCGTAGGCCTACCCTTCAAGGTCACCGTGTTCTTGAACGTAACACCGTAGCGCCTCGCAATACCGTTCACCTTGACGTGAGTGTCGCCTCTGATGGTGACCCTGACGGACTCATTGTTCTGGAACCAGGTGGCGAAAGTGGTGAAGGCCGCCATGTCGGCAATCTCGATGTGCTGGCTGATGTTGACAGTCTGCAGCTTGACAGACTTGGTTTCGGGGAAATTGAGGTGGACGAAGGGAGTGTGAGGCTCCAGGTCCTCGAGGTACATGACGCCGTCGAAGGGCTCGATGGTCGCCTTGACGGAGCCGTCCGATTTCAGCGTCGAGTTGATAGCCATGTTGTAGGAGTTGGGTCTGGTGTTGGAGACGGCGATTCCGTCGACCGTGAGCTCAGCATGATCAAGTTTCGATTGGGCAATCTTGGGGACGGCAACGAAAATACTACGTCTCGTTAGGATCATATTGCTCCGTACGCGGTGTCCAGTACAGCTCAGACTTACATCAGGAGGACAATAAGAAGGATTGCGGCGATGGTTGCAATGAGATAGATCCACCAAAACCTCGCGCAGTGCCTCATACATGACTTCCTCTTGCCACCTCTGTACGAGCCGGTACCACCGGCGCTCTCGGTGTGAGACACGTCGTATTTGCTCATGTTGCCCGAACTACTACGTTACGAGTTATAGTCCGTGGGGTGTAGCTGGGGAGTTGCCGCCCACAGTCGTGAACTTCCGATATGTGTGTGTGTCGGTTACTGCGAGATTGGAGCAGAATGTCCACTTGGACGACGGTGTCAATGACAGCTCGACAGATCGATGTCCAGGATACCGAGCAACGAGGTGGTCGAGTGGGACCCAGGGAGCTTAAGTACAAAGATCGAGAGAGATTCTGGGGTAAGAGCTGGGGACGCCAGGAAATAGCAGACACCCTTGAGCATCACACGCGCCGCAATGGCTCGAGATCTTCATGGCCACGCCAAGTCCGCATGTAACCCTTTTCCTTTCCACGTACCGACTAAGCCAGGCCAGTCGGTAGGGTAGGCAGGGTAGAGTAGGTTGGGATACGCTTTGGTACCCGGGCGTTTGTACACATTGTGGGTGTAAGTGCAAGGTAGCGTATGGGTGGCTGTGGCCATCGAGGAAGATACATGGCCAAAATGCGTAAGGACAACTGGGGATCGGCCGGTCAGATGGTAGGCCGTTCATAGACCAACGCAGAGAAATATGCTAGGTCAACCTTTTGACGTCCAAATCTGCATTACGGGTAGGTCTTGTTGCAAGGGCAGGCCGGGGCAGCGTTGCCAAATTGGGTGGCATGCCGAGAAGAAGGTCGACACCATCTCCCCCAAGCGGCTGCCCCGCATTGTGTGAGTCGAGGAGGACTGGAAGAACTAGGGGGCCCTTGCCCGCTAACACCACAGTTGCAATCTTGCTGGACCGCCGGAGAGCGGTCCCTCGGCATCTTTTGGGCAACACTGAGCATATGAAAGTCAATTTCGGGTGTGGGTGTGGGTGTCAACGGATTCTGCGCCAATAAGCAACATATTGGCTCGGAGGCTTGTCCACTGATTTTGAAGGGATCTAGATTGGGTGGAGAGACAAGATCCAGAGGGAATGGATACGAAGTGAGGCGTGAACGCTATTAGGCGTTGTAATGGTGAAGCTGTCTCTGTCTAGATCATAAAGCGATGATAGGTTGGCTGGCATTGTTGGCTTAAGGAGATCGAGGGAAGGACACAAACGGCTTCTAAGCCATGGCTCTCTCGACGAGACAAGCCTCCGGAGGGTTGTGAGCGATGGAGGAGGGGGAACCAGTAGACGTTGGCAGCTCCAAGCAACCCGCCATCAGCCACTAGGGCCTTCACCGGCCGGCTTCTAGCGTCGGGGAGGGTATCCTCACGTGCCCAATCAAAACATCAAGGCCCCAAGGCTGGGAAGTTGGTTCTCGCGCCGTGCGCCACTGGTGAACCCCTTGGGCTCAACGGGAAGGCCAATAAAGGTTCTCAAAGACCCCATCGCGGCCTCGCTGGGTTGAGTTTTTGTAATCTCGCCGAGTTTTTGGCTTAGACACGAGCAGAAGGGTAGCGCATGAAGAGGTGTCCAGGTAGCTATCACATGGGCGCAGCATCAGGAAATTATCCAAGGAGCTGCAAGAAGAAATAAAGGCACCATGGGACGCATGCGTGGGTGGCACGATTGGGTAAAAGATACAGGGGAGCAAGGAGCCGGACCAGAGGGCGGCGCGGAAGAGAAGACAGCTGTAAACGGCCGAAAAGGGCGGAGGATGGGCCAGGATTGGCTGGATCTGGACGAATTGGTCTCGGAGATTTGACGCAGAAAGGCCAATGATTTGCCTCGAGAACACACAAGGACCTTTGCATGCCCGCGTGAGAGTATCCGAAGCTTCCTTGAGGCAAGCAAGACAAGGCAAGGTAAAGTAAGGTACCTTTGCTCGTGGTCCACTCAGCTGCGACTTGCACCTGCAGCCGGCGAGGGCAGCCGACATTGGAGGGCGCCCGCCTTGCCCGCCCAACGCTCCTCGCACCGCCCCACTCAGTGCCTCCCCCAGAGTCTGGGCGTTATCCGGGTAGGAGTGGGGACGGGGAGCAGAGTCTTAGCCCTGGGGAAGCCAGTAAGAGGGGGGAGGCAACCTGGAGAGCCTTGGTAAGCCGGGACATCACGGTGGGGCCCGCCAGCAGATACCCACCGGAACCATAGTGAGGTACACCCACAGCGACGACCTATTCGATTATAGTGTACGAAGCAGAGCTCATCCATGAAGCATAGCTCATCCATGATGAGCTGTCAATCAACTGTCACACTCATTTCGAGATCCTGCGTCCAGTTCCTCTACTTTGAGTTTCGGCTTCCACCTTAACGTGACAACCGGCCGATCGAGTCAGCTCAGCCCACTTTGGGCAAGAAGCTTGTGTGCCGGGGCCAGACGTCAAGACGCAAGGGTCATGACGAAAGGGGGACGAGAGACGAAGGGTACAGAGTGAGCATCCCAGCTTGCAGAGGCTTGGGAGGCTCAACGTTAACCTTGTCTCCAATTGCCTTTCCCTTCCAGCACCGCCGATAACCAAACCTTGCTCGTGGCCCTGTGGTTGAGTCCCGACCCGATCGCCCGTAGACAACCAACCAGCGCTTGAATGCAGTTCTGCAATGTGTCTTGGCGGGAACAAAAAGAAAGCCTCAAGGGTTTCCATAAAAAGTACTCACACGACGACGACGTCCACACCCCCCCAGCCCGCCGTCTCGATCACCACGGTCCCCGGCCTATCAGACCCTTCGCCGACGTAATTCCGCATCGAGTCGCTTCACCCAACATTTTCTGACCGAGAATGAATGAATGCCGCACGTCGCGATCCATCACGACGGGAAAGAAGTGCCCGCCGGCGTCGACCAGGATCACATTACCTTGATAAACTCCCCAACGACGAAGGAGAGAAACCGTGTTAGAAAGAAGAATACCACATCAATGGTTTCGTTTCACAACACCTCAGGCCGGCCCGTGATAGCATGACAATGATGGAAGTATACGGTATCTAAAGCCTTGATTCGCATGAAATCCAGGATCCTCTCTATCCTTCTACCTATAGTAGCCTTGTGTATGACTCTACAATGCCCGCCCAGAATGACAGAGCGAGCGGAATTGTAACGCTATTGTATGCATGGGATCGGTCCCAGATTCCGCGGCCACACTCCTTTTTCCCTGCGCTTCTTCGTCCCATCTCGACTTTCGAAAGATCCAGACCTGGCCCCAACCTAACACGAGGCATATCTTGACTCCTGCAGTCGAGGCTTCAAGCATTCGCTCGACTGCTTCACGGCGGAACGATGCCATTCACCATTGTACGTCCAGCGATTTTGCCTGTTGTTGGACGCAACGCGGGAATGCGGCCTTCCTCAACTCTTCCCGACTCAAGGTTTCCATGATCTCATTCGGGACGTTCCTGTTATAGCTTCGACTTCACCCATAGGCTAACCTTGTTCTCCAGCCCAGACTCGCCGTCGTAGATGTCTCTCTCCACTGCGCGAGTGTTGATCTGCAGCACCTATCAGAATCCGACGTCTCACGCAAATTTAGGTTGTGGAGACCTATGATGGTGTAACTTACAAAATGGGGGCCCAGATCGCTGACGCTCTTGGCGCCGAGGAGCCTCATGCATGTCTCCATCTCACCCTTGAGGACTGGGCAAAAAGTTAGCGACTCGTCCGCAACGACACATCTCGAACGCAGTACGTACTCTCATATGTCCTCTCAACACCGGCCTGGCCACCGGCACCGAGACCGAACAGCGCGGCACGGCCGATACCCACAGCCTTTGCGCCCAGGCAGAGAGCCTTGACGATGTCGGTCCCGCGCTTGATGCCGCCATCGACCCAGACCTCAATCTTGTCAAAGACCTCGGGACAATACTTGCGGATCTCCAGCAGCGTATGAACAGCGGGAGGCGCCGTGTCGAGGGCGCGACCACCGTGGTTCGACAGGATGATGGCCTTTACTTGCGGGGCGTACTTGGCCGCAAGGTAGGCGTCCTCATGTGTCTGCAGTCCCTTTAGGACGATGGGCAAGTCGGTATGCTGTGCCAGCCAAGGCAGGGTCGTCTTCCATGTCAGGTCAGCCGCCGTCCCGAAGAACAGCTGCTGTCCCACACCACCACCGCCTGGCCGCTTCGCCTCGTCACTCTTTGAGTTTGACTCGGATTCGACCTCGAAGGCGCCCTCGAACTGCTGTTTCTCGTCGAGCTCACGCTTTCCGGGCCACGGGGCATCCAACGTAAGGGTGATGTATTTGTAGCGGTCCTTCATGGCGTTGATGCGTTTTAGCATGGCCTCGCTTTTGGCCCTGTCATTCTGAACGTAGAGCTGCCACCCGAACACCTGGCCTTCGGGCGAGCCCTCGATGATCTGCTCCGGTGTCATAGACGCGTTGTTCGACACGCACTGCATCGCGTTGAACTTGGCTGCCGCTCTTGCAATGCCTCGCTCACCGTCCGGGTGAGCAAGTCTCGCCATGGCGGCTGGTGCCACGAACAGAGGGATTCCCACATGGTGGCCCAGCAAGTTTGTAGACGTATCAACTTGTGTGCAGTCGACGAAGACCCGCGGCCGGAGAAGAATCTGCCTGTACGCCTTGTTGTTGTTGCTCTTGGTCCACAGGTCGTCACTAGCCGAGAAGTAGTACGCCCAGGCCTTCTTCGGGATGATCTTTGTGGCAGCCTCCTCAATCTCCTCAATATTGAGCAGCGTCTCCAGCCTCGGCGGGCCTTCCTTGGGCTTCTGGGACTCCGCTTTCGCGGGGGCGGGTTGCAGCAGCGCCAGAGACTCAGGATCTACGGTGCCGAGGCACTTTTCGGGTTTGAGGTTCTCCTCGAGGATACCCGGCGGGTGGATGGGGTCATACTCGTCTGTCGCATCTTTGCCGGAGAGCTTCACAATGATCTTGGACCCGCCAGGGTGGGAGGGGAGGAATTCGGTCACGTCGTACACTTTGCCGTAGAGCACTACCCAACAGCTCTCGGGGGTGTTGTGCTTGGCGACTATGGGGCAGCATTAGCATAGGCTCAACGTACAAGCGGAGAGTACCTCAGACCAACCTTCTTCAGCAGTAAATACCTTCGACATTGTGTCAGCAATTGGAGGTTCTATAGCACAAACTACGCAAGAAAAACATGGCAGGATCTCAGCAACTGACCGAGCGGGCACATCATGGTAATAAGCCGCCAATCGTTCGGCAGGAATTACCCCGTACGTCTGGGCGAGAAACGAGGACCGTGGGGGGGTTGATCCGGGGTTGGGGGCAGCTAGAGGAGCCTGTCAGTCATCGAATCAACGTGCACTTTTTGGTCAAGCGTTCTGTGGAGGCAGCAGAGAGTGGGCACAGTGGGGTATCGTCATGGAAAGAACACCGCGGGCGCACGAGTTAACCCCGACTTGCCCCGACTTCGGACATGTCGGCGCCTCTCGGCGCTAGACGCTTCGCTTCGCTTTGGCGCGGCAATGATTTTACGGGGACGTCATCCATCCCATTTGTTCCGGGGATGTTTGTAAATTTCGTGGCCAGCTTTGAGCACTTATACAACGACTCAATCGCGACAGCACTCCACGAACAGCTGGTATTCTTGGTTCCGCATCGCATACAGAAATACTACGCAGACCATGAGCATGCGCACTTCACTTACAACGGGCGCACGAGACATTTCTCGCCTTTGCGCGAGGTGCCGGCGACAGGCAACGATAACCCGGCCATCTGGAACGGTGGCAATCGCCAGTCATTCGCTGGCTACGACACATGCACGATGGGCTTCGGGAATGGCTACCAGCAGTGCGAACCAAAAGCGATGGATGTCGGGAACCGCCCCCCTCACCCGACCGGCGACGGCGGCACAGAGCAACGAAGCGACAACCGCCTCGAGTTCGCAAGAAAGCAAGCTCCCCACGACGCACTACGACTTCTTCCCCATCACTCTCCCCGACGGCCCGCCGCCCAAAGGCCACTTTCCCATCGACCAGCGCGCCCTCCGACGTGAGTTCCTACGGCTGCAGGCCAAGGCGCACCCGGACATGCACCCGGCGGAGCTCAAGGCTCGGGCGGAGGCGACGTCGGCGCGCATCAACGAGGCGTACAAGACGCTGTCGAACCCACTGCTGCGCGCGCAGTACCTTCTCTCGCTGCGTGGCGTCGACGTGGCCGAGGACGAGACGCTCAAGGTCGAAGACCCAGAGCTGCTGATGATCGTGCTCGAGGCGCGCGAGGAGATTGAGGAAGCAACAAGCGAAAGCGAGCTCGAGGGCCAGCGCGCGGCCAACGATGAGCGCATACGCGAGAGCGAGGAGGTGCTCGAGGAAGCTTTCCGGCGAGACGATATCGAGACGGCGAAGCGTGAAGCGGTGAAGCTCCGGTACTGGGTTAACATTCAAGAGAGCTTGAACAACTGGGAGGCCGGGAAGCCGATTGTGCTGCAACACTAAGGAAGTAGGGTATGGTAATGATTGAAGAGAGAAAGAAAAAAGATGACTCTGTTCCTGTACAGTAGAAGAAAAAGTGTATATCTGGACTGGGAAGGCTCGGCCGTCATCATCAGCTGATAGTGGGCCGATATTGTGAGATACCCGGCATTTTCATAATTTAATGTTTGCAAAACTCTACTCAACCCACAAATACCTACTACTGGAAGTGGTGGATAAAATCGACGAAATGGTGCGAGTCGTGTTTTGGCAAAAATTCCCGGTTGACTAAAGAAACCCGCCAAAGCCGTTCCGCCTCCAAAATAGCTCAGCAACTTGGCCAAAACACGGCTCTGTACTCCGATCATTCACCGAGAGCTCCATGTGTAAGTGAAACTGATTGTACTGTCTCGTTGTGGAAATTCTCGTCTAGAACTCCTGTGATGTCATACTCCTCAATGTGGGCTCTTACCGGGCAGAACATCGCAACATGTAGGTGAGCTTGACGGTGTTACGAACACGCACTTGCGAGCTCGTGTCTCAGTCATTGTGATTTGCGACAGCGGCGGTGTTTGTAAGCTCTTGCGAATTCAGACTGGGTTCACGTAGAGCTGGGCCAACGGCTTGAGCAGAAGCTTATGACTACCTCGAGATTAGTCACGGCTTGCACTTACGTACTCTCTCATTACCTACAAGGATCATTTTTCGCTATGGTTGTTTCCTAAATTCTATGGCTAGGACTCGTGCCTCTGCCATGTCTTGATTTTCCAGTCGATGTATGTCAAATTGAAATCTAGTTTTTGATAGTTCACGGTGTGGGATAAGAGTTACAGTGTAACCAAACCTCTTGCTAATCAAGCAAAGCACTTCTAACGAGTTCTCTGGAAGAGCATCAGAGAATTTATGAAAGACTAAATCCATAATATGTTTTACAGGTCGAATCGTTCTGTGGAAACCCGAAAGATCGCTGGGCTAAGCCGACTCACTGTCTTTGGCTTGATTACCCCATGGCGGCCGTCACCCGTGGTCCCTGCCCACCCCGCCAACACCTACCCCACCATGCCTGCCTAACCTTACCAATGACAACCATCCAACAGCTCAGCTCCTCCAGCTCGGCGACTTCACGGAAATCCACCCTCACCAGAGCATAAGCTTCCAGACGCCGTCCCTTCCCCGTACAACCCCAGAATAGACCCTACGAACCACCTGCACACGACCAGAAATACACGCCCACAAGACATAAGACCATGGCGCCCTCGCAAAAGGTTGCCGAGCGGCTCGCCCTAGCCGAGTCCGCCCCGGGCGACAAGGCCGCGGCCTACGAATCCATCATCGCCGACATCAAGACCCTCTCCTCCCCCGCGACGGCGGCCGACGACCTCGCCGCCGTGCTCGACGCATTCTTCGCCGCCTCCCTCGGCATCGTCTCCACCCGCGCCGTGCTGGCCTCATTCGTCGCCACCCTCCGCGACCTCAAGAACGACGACCTCTGGATCGCCGTCGGGAACCACATGCTGTCCCAGCTCGCCGCGGGCGCGCAGGCCTCCTCCTTCCTCGACCAGGCCGCCGCCGTCCGCGAGCTCGTTGCCGAGGCCCACGAGAACAACGAGGACTTCCTCGACGCCGCCAAGACGCTCGCCGAGATCCCCCTCGACGGGTCCCAGCGCAAGGTCACAAACGACGACAAGGCCCGCGTCTGGGTCCGCATCGCCCGCAACTACCTCGAGGTCGACGACACCACCGCCGCCGAGACGTACGTCAACAAGCTGAAGAACATCATGCACACCGTCCAGGACCGCGACCTCGACCTGCACTTCAAGCTCTCGCAGGCGCGCATCCTCGACTCCAAGCGCGACTTCCTCGGCGCCAGCGGCCGCTACCACGAGATCAGCGTCAGCCCGGCCATCGCCGAGGAGGAGCGCCTGCACACCCTCGGCATGGCCGTCAAGTGCGCCATCCTCGCCCCCGCGGGCCCCATGCGGAGCCGCGCGCTGGGGCGGCTGTACAAGGACGAGCGGTCGGCGGGGCTGGACGAGTTCGGCATGCTGGAGAAGATGTTCTTTGACCGGCTGCTGGCGCCCGAGGAGGTGGATAAGTTCGCGCAGGGCCTGCAGCCGCACCAGCTGGCGACCACGGCCGACGGGTCCACGGTGCTGGCCAAGGCCGTCGTGGAGCACAACCTGCTCGGCGCGTCGAGGCTGTACCGGAACATTGGCTTCGAGGCGCTCGGCTCCCTGCTCGGCCTCGACGGGGAGAGGGCCGAGGAGACGACGGCCAGGATGATTGAGCAGGGCCGGCTGCTGGGCCGGATCGACCAGCTCGACGAGGTCATCTGGTTCGAGGGCGGCGAGGCGTCGGGCAAGAAGGGCAGCGGGCGTGCCGAGGTCGTCGTCGGCAAGGAGATGCGGCGGTGGGATGCCAACGTGCAGAACATGGCCGAGGAGGTGGAGAACGTGACCAACGCCCTGCAGAAGCAGTTCCCCGTAGGTTTTTTTCTGTTTTTTCCCCCTTTCTCTTGCCCATCACTGCGCTACGGCTCGCTAACGGCTGCGTCTAGGACTTTGTGGAGAACAACCTGGTCGTCTGAGATGACCGTTATTATGAGATACTGAATGTTGAACACACCACACCGGCGTTATTGAAAATGGGGGACTTACTGGCGTTTGGGGGGGGGGGGGGGGGTTCATGCGACCAAAAGAGGCATAGCACAGCAAGCCGCCGCCGTAGAAGAGAAAACATGCCGGGGAGTCGGCAGCCGGCAGATAGAGCGAAGGGCAGGGGACACGAATCAAGGCATAGTGTACATGGTCGTCATTGTTGTTCTAATAAATAAATAAAACAAGGTGTCTAATTCAGGTCCCTCATCCGCACAACCACGTACCCGCCGCTGAGCGACAGCGGGTCGCCGTCCTCCTCGTCGAAGCAAATCTCCTCCTCGACGTGGCGCCGCGCGCGCCGCGCCCTCCGCGAGTCCGGGTTCCGCTCCAGCTCGACGAGGTCGCCGAGGGCCTCGGCGATGTGGGTGCCCATCCAGTCGTAGCCCGCGGCCGTGAGGTGCAGGCCGTCGTCCCAGTACCGCTGCCGCTCCCGCTCGGTGAGCGAGTGGTAGGGGATTCTGGGATTGAGGTCGAAGGCGTGGCTGGGGTTGGTGGTTAGTGATGATGAAGAGGGGCCCCTCCAACAATGATCAAGAGAAAGACTTATCGGACACGGGGCGAGGGAAGGGGGAGAGGACTACGGAAACACATACTAGTTTGGTGACTGGTGTGAGAGGATGGTGTTGTTGAGCTGTCGCCGGTGGCTGTCGAGCTCGTCGTCCTTGGCGGCGCACTCGGGGACCGTCAGCGCGAGGACCTTGCTCCCCTTGGCGATGGCCGAGTCGTACACCCGGCGGAGGGATTCAAATATCCTTTCTGGCGGTACATTGTATGCAAGATCACTGGTCGTCGAGTCTTAGCATCATGCAGTACATACATATACATGTGTGGATGACACCTGGTAGATGAACAAGGGCCATCCATGGTGGACCTACTTTGTGCCTCCTAGTACGATGACCCAGTCATATGTTGTTTGGCTCACTGTGGCGGCACATTAGCATCAACTTCATGAAATGGCCCAATGTGCCCGAGGACAAATGTTGAAGGTTCAAAAAGATCCGCAAGTACTGCAACCAAAAAAGGCCGCGAGCACAGAAAGAGACGGCAAGCACTCACACTCGCTCTCGAACCGCTTCGCAAAGGCGCCCTGCGAGACAACGTCGCCGGGCATCCCGTTGTCCGTCGCGATGACCTGTGTGTCCGAGAGGTCCCGCGAGAGCTTCTTGGTGAGGGCGATGGAGTACGGGTGGTAGACGGCGCCGTAGGCCGAGTACCCCGCCGTCAGCGAGTCACCGAAGCAGAAGACGCGGAGCGTCTTTCCTCCCGACATGATCGCGGATTTTGCCAGAGGCCCGAGGCGGCGTTTTTTTCTTGGAGTTGTCCTGGTCGGGGTCGATTCTTCTATGAGCCCCCCGCCGTCCTACGATGCCGAGTCCTGTGTGAGTTGGTTGGAAGTAGACGGGCGTAGTTGACCAGGTGGGGGTTCCGGCGGCGGTCTCCGGGGGTTATGTCGTTGACGGGGTCGGTTGCTGTTATTCCAAGATGCCAGCGGTCCAGCGGCAGCGATAACTCAAAAATGAGGGGGGGTGGGTATCAAATGTGGTCGTCGCCGTCAATATTGAGATGAACAGTTCAAAGATGTCCAATGTAATGTTCGATGAGCCTGTCCGAGGTTCGTTGCGTTGAGGCTGACGGAGGAGGGTCCTAAGTCAGGTGGGGTGGCGTCGACGTACACTAGATAGGTACCTTCCGATAGGCAGACACGCAACACACTTCCAGGTTGACGGGCGGGGGGAGGCGAATGGTGGGGGCGGGGGAGAAAGTAACCAGGCGCCAAACAGGGAATGGGGTTTTAAATCACAGGGCCCTGCGTGCTGACTCCAGCGAGAACCCACCCGGGGGCGCTGAGCACTGAGCAGTCAGCAGCCACCGCAGTCAGGCGCTTCCCACACCGCGCAAGGTGAGCACAGGCAGCAGCAGCGGCGGTAGGAACAGCAAGCACACAGGTCCAGAGGGGCGGCGGTGGCGCACGATGCTTGTGGCCTCAACCTCCGTCTCCTGTTTCGGGTCCAACCTAGAAACCAGTCTTTGCGTAGGAGCTTCTTTGCCTGAGCGATCTCGGGGGGGGTGGGGGAAGGAACGAGGCCGGATTTTGAGACTGCGCTTCTAGAAGCAAATCCGATACGAACGGGCCCTTCCTGTCTCACAATGCTTCTTTGCGTGGTGCATCAAGGTTCATCAACCATGACCTTCTCGCGGAGAGGCCGTTGAATTCTGCGTCTACATCCTGATATCGCTACCTATCTACACACCAATGTATCCAATACCGCCCGCCCGCCCCCTTTCATCGGCCTCCATTTACTATGAAAAATACCATGATATACATTATTGACGTTACAAATAGTTGTTCTCTCTGTCCTTAGAACCTTCGTTGGGATCTCTTCCCGTCCGAGACAATCCGGGGTAGGTATCATAAACCCGGTCGTTTCATCACACACGCCTGAATGGATATCGGACGTTGGCGTTGGGGCCGTCTGCGTCCGTCGCAGCGGAGCTTCCACGGTGCGTCGGCGGAATTCACGCCAGCTCGGGCTGGTACCACCGACCCCTCTCGGTGTGCCACCACCTCTCCTTGTCCTTCTTGTCCGGCATCGTCGGCGATGCGTTCCATCGTCCCTGGCATCCATCCCTCCCACTGGCGGCGACGTCTTCGCCGTTGTCCGCCATCAGGTCGGCCATCTCGACCAGCCCGCCGCGCTCATCTTTCGCGCCGGCGTCGGGCCACAGGTTGTACGTGATGCGGCTCTCCACCGTGCCCATAAATCCCGCGAGCCCGTGCTTCTCGAGTACCGTGCCGTCCTCGTCAATCACGTTGACAAAGAACCGCGGAAACGCGCGCGCCGCCTCGAGCCGCGCCTGGGCCGCGAGCCGCGCATGGTGGAGGTTGCTGCATTCTCGGTACCCCTCGGTCGTCGTCACGGGCGATGCCGGCGCCGTGGACGAGCGGGAGTGCTTGATCGGTGAGCCAGGGGCGCTGCCGCTGGGCGTGGGGAATGAGGAGCTCCTGGCGGGTCCGTTGGGCCCGCGGAAGCGGTCGCTCGCGCTGTCTGTTCTCTCCTGCGGGCGGCAGAGGGCCTGGAAGATGCCCTCTGGGTCGTTGGGGGCGCGCAGGCTGCGGAGTGAGGGGAAACCAGCGGCCGTGATGCTGCGGGCGAGGATGGAGTCGGCGGCGTTGGCGTTGCTCGTGTTGCTTGTGATGTCCCAGTGGAGCTTGCGGAGGGAGCTCGAGGCAAGGTACGGCATGAGCCAGATGAAGGTGTCCTCGGGCAGGGTGGGCGCGAAGCTCTGGACGAGGGCAAAGGCCTCGAGGTGGGTGAAGTTGGAGAAGATCCGGGCCAAGGCGGGCAGGGAGTCGAGGTTGATGTGGCGCAGAGTCAGTTTCTGGATTGCTTGGCTCGTCGGAAGGGTAGCCAGGGCGGAAATGCCACTGCTCGTGACACCCGGTACGTGCGTGAGGGATAGTGTACGCAAGGGGGCAGCGAGAGTAGAGTGCTGTCGTTGAAGGCAGTCACCGGCATCCGCGACAAGAACAGGTGCTGCAGAGACGTCAAGTGCATCAGCGCCGAGCTGATGAGGTTGTCCGGGGTGAGAGTCGCGCCGGGGAGGCAGTGGACCGTCAGCGTCGTGAGGTGGGCCCAGTCGACGTGGAACTCGAGGAAGGCCGCGCTCTGCTGCGGCTGCAGATCTCCGGGGGTCACCGAGTAATCGCGAGCCGGCTGGGCGAGCGCCGCAGCGTTGCCGCCCGAGCTCGACTTGAGCCGGTGCTGTCTTTGGTACGGGGAAGGCTCGACGATCCAATCCATGTGCTTGAGTCGCTTGCGAGTCGACAGCGCGTGGGTGAGCTTGCTGAATGAGTGGTTATACTGGGGGTGGAGACCGATGAGGCGCTCAAAATTGGGACAGGCCATGATCAGCGCTGCCACCTGATTGTGATAGTCCTCCAATGCGATGCCAGCAGGGGGACTGGGGACCTTCACTGTGTGGACGATGCCGGCGAGATATGGGTTTGCTCTCAAGGTCCGTCTAAGGAGCATCATCCGCGTGCCAAAAGTGAGCTTGTGCCGCTTCTTCTGAGACGCCGAGTCGGCTCCTACAAGCTGAATGTCCTCATACCTGGCATTGTTAGGATCACAGACACATCGTGGGGGTGGAGGGTTCATACAAGGCGACCCGTGCGAACTTGCACCATTTCCTCGCCGCCAGGCTGACCGAACACAGATCCCGCATCCAACATGTTGCGCAGCTCTGGCTGCCGTTGTCAAGATGCGCCTTCTTGAGCTCGCCCAGAATCAGCTCCAGGACCTCGCCGGGTAGCTTTGCAAAGATTTCGCCAGGCTTCGCCTTCTTCCTGAACACTGTCGACTGACTTGGTCGCTGATACATGTAGTCGGGTCGCCACATGCTGGAATCCCTCGAATCGACGCTCGTTCGGTTGCTGCTGTACGATGAACTCCGGGACCGTGTCTCGAAACTTTCTCTAGGGCTGTTGATGCTCGTAACGGTGATAGTAGACGCCTGGGAAAGCTTCCGTGGTCTGTTGAGCGGCGTAGGCATCGCCTCGAATACTACCTTCGCGTCCATGGGTGTCGTTTGCAATGCGTACGGCACGCGAGCAGTACGCGGGTTCGGCCGTGTTTGTGCCATCATGGGTTGTTCACCCTTGGGGTATAAATCTGGGGGAGCGCCGAAGTAGGCCGGAGCTGAGCCGTGGCTGGCGGTCATGACGGAAGACACAGAGGCGGAAGCAGAGGGGTTAATGGAAGCGGCAACAGCTGGAGGGGGAGCGAAACGGCCGGGGGCTCTTAGGCGGTGACCATCATGGGCGATGTAGTTGGAAGAAGTAGGTAAAGCGGAAGCTCGTCTCTTGTGTTGTTGAGCTCTGGGGTTGCTGTGGAGAGGAGACCAAGAACGTGTGTTAGTTCGGAGTACTTTGTACTTCAAGGATGCAGCAAAACGGATTTCGGCAACGGTCAAGGCCCCAAGCCAAGAAATGATAGGAAATCGGCAAACAGTAACCCCCGGAAAGAGAGAGAGAGAAGAAAAGAACCAAGAAGGACTAGAAAGGCGCCAACGTAAGGTGACGAGGGGTTCTGTCATGTTTAATATGAAAATCCGGAGAGAAAAAAGACGGCACTGGCAATGGCACCCAGGAGGCTGCCGCTGGGCAAATCTGCAATGGACACCACACCCTGGACCCTCGACCCGATGGAGGTTGGCGCGGGCAACGAGGTGCGAGGGTAGTGCCCGGACCAGCGCTCTGATGATCCTATCCGGATGGAGTCTGACGGATGGCTGCTCGCATCCACCATCCACCGGAGGGTGCAGCAGTTTGTGTGGGAGGACGCAACCCCCAAATCACGTATCTAATCCCCCTTGAACCTTGGCCCACCTCGGGGGGACAACGACAACTACTCCTCAGCTGTAGGGTAGCGTGATGAGTGTGTAAGCTATCAGGCAGCTCCCAAGCTTTTGGGGTGCAGCTAGTCCGAGTCGCGCAACCCGGCAACGTGGGCGCGGCGACAGAATACCGCCAACTACCCTACTTTAGCACTTGCGCTAGGGGCTACACTATACTACGTACGGCGCGAAATGGGATGAGAAGACGTGAAGGAGCCCGACAAGCAACGAACTTTCTTGTGGCGCGCCATTTGACGAAAGGCAGCGCAATTTTCCCCCTGCCCTGCCCTGATGTGAAAGCCGGCAGACGCGCGCGCCACTGTTGCCGGTGGAAATTGGGGGAAACCTCCTTGAGGCCTGGGAGCACCCCCTGTAGCGTTATTGTCCCGGTCCATGTTGGCTAGATGGCTCCCGCACACGCCCGAAACGTCTCCCTGGGACACAAGTGACCCCCTCGTGCCTTTAGGGCCGTTCGAAAGCCTCGTTCGGATAGAGGGAGGGGGAGGGAGGATGTGACAACGGCGCAAGGATGAGTGACATGATTCGGTCCAAGGACCCGCTCCCCAGAACTGAAGCTGAAGATGAGAGAGGGCTAGGGGTGTCTCGGCAAGGGGGAAAGTGCGGAAGAGGAAAGTCGTGGGATTTTGAGCTCCATTTCAAGCGTCGATACATTCCCCTCTCAGAAGCGACAGGTCAAACTTGGACAACTGTGGCTCCACCTTCGCCCAGGCTGGGCAGGAAGATGCCGTGGAGAGGTAATCTTAGGATACGCCGAGAGAACTTCGCGGCGTCTGCAGGACGTGGCTTGTTATGTCATGTTGAGATTCTCGTGCCATAGCCTGCTTGGTTCTATCTGTCGGTGTGGCCTGTCTGGATGAGTGGCCCGTTGAAACTACACTACCAAGAGGCACTCGGAACTTCACAACCAACAAGAGTCTCCGCTCGACTCAACTCCACTTGGAGGGCTCAGGATCGGTAAGAGATAGAAATGAGACGTGGAGCTTCCGCCCCGTCCGTTGCCTTTTTCGTCAGTCGAACGACGCAACTCCCACTTGCAAGCCACGGCCCAAGGCGTCATCGAGTTTTTATGTGGGCAGAAGCAGGAATCCCACAGAAAGAAAAGAAAGAAAGGGAGGGAAGAAAAGAAAATACCCCAAAAGGCTAATGTGACGGAAGATGGGATGAACCAGAGCGCCAAAGCCAACGCCGCCTCATGTCCAGTAGTGCGAAACGTGATATCAGACCGATGGAAATGAATGCGTAAACGAAGAGCAGCAGCAGCAATATGCAATGAAAGCCAAGCACCTGCAAGGTAGGGAAAGAAAGGCGCGCGATAAAAAGAATTGCAGAGACAAGTGGACGAATGAAAAGAAGCAGTAGTGCGAGCAACAGCCAATAGACAAATGGGGAACGCGGCCGTTAGGGGCCCAAGAGGGGCAATATTGGAAAAAAGGCGACTTACGAAGCGTCTGATTTGTGGCTATTTTTGACATCGAGGAAAACGTGTGCGTATACGCCATGCCGGATCTCGTTGGCACGCTTCTCGTCCAGAGCCGACAGCGATTGCCTTGCGCCGGCAGGCCCAATGCCAGGAACCGCCCGCGCGGCGGATCGATAATCTTTGTGGTGCGCGAGGCCGTACTTGTGGTGGCCGAGGTCGAGTCCGTAATCGGGGTCGAATCGCCGGTTGCCATTGTACGTGTTGGTGATCGCTTGGCCCGCAGGCGGCATCTCGTAGTACTGCCGTCCGCTGATCATAGTTGCCGTTTGGAGACAGTCGTCTCCCGTATCGATAAAGCTGTCGTCGTCGTCGTCGTCTCTAATATTGTTGACGGTATTCTTCGTCTCCTTATCCTTTCGTGGCCGTCCTGTTGTCCTGGGGTGAAATTTCTGTTCCTGCTCTGACCGACTCTTTCTCTCACTCTCATCCGCACAGCTGATGGCCGGGTTCGGGCCTTGCGAACCAGCGACCCTTTTTATTCAACGTGCCAAAAGGGGGTCTGCCAAATCCGTTCCCATGAGGTCGTTCTGCCGTAATATTAATATACCGACGTGGGGAGATCTTGGCCAGCTACGGTCGTTGCGAGGGTGGGTTTCAGTTCAGTTGGCCGACCCGCTTCAACCAACTTGAGGGCATCATCAGGAGCAGGGCAGTTAATGACGAGCTGGAAGTCGCAAATAAAGACGAGAGCCCTCCAGGTAAATGCGAGATATCCGGCGAATCAGCGAGAGGGGCGAGAAAAGGAGAAAGGAGGGAGGGAGCAGGACAAGAGAAAGAAGCCCAGGTCGGCAAGATTGCAACCTTCATGCGTTCGGTGTGCATTATATCTAAAGTCGAGGGCAGCCCTATCCCACTCTCGAAATAAAAGATAGAACTCGCAACCTGGTGACTGGACCTGGGTCGAGAACCAGCCAGAGCCCTGCTCGGCGCTCACGCACTCCCGGCCCTCTGACTTGCAAACCCATACTTAGACCTGCTCGAAGCAACGCAATATGGCGGCAGCATTCTGCAGTGCAGCGGCTGGGAGGTGCCTTAGTCGCATGAATGATTGGAATGCGGCAAGCTGACCCCTCCTATCCCCTCGTCTAGCTCGTCGCGCCTCAAAGAATCGACGATGTGTCGCAGGCGGTGGGCACTCCATACATGCAGTCCACATTTCTCATAGGTACGTACGGCAACACAAAAAAAAAACAAGGTTAACAAGGTCGATAATGTTCTGGAGCTCCCAGGTGATCCCTGAGTGGCGGTGCGGTAAGCCGGCCGCGACAACCCCCGGAGGCGACGAATGAGCGGCCCGGCAGAGGCCAAGGCATATGCCATCGTTGTTTCGCGGGGTTGCGATGAACCGCTTCGATGTCCAGTAATATCGTCCTTTGCAATGCTGCACAGCCCTTTACGTCCATTTGGAGATGCGCATGCCTCGTCATAACCTCACGCGAGGGAGAAGACAGGGGCAGGCCGCCGAGGCGCACTTGAACGGGCCCTGGTGTCGTGTCGGGCAAATAGGATCCTGAGCTCATCATCATCCCTCGCGTCCGTCTGGTCTCATCTCTGCTCGTTTCGTCCGGACCGCCTATCTGCCCCGCGAATAGCGTGTCAGCGAGAGGCTGGGCTGGAGCCTGGGGGGATCCCGTCCGCCCTGCAGCGTCAAATCGACGGAACGATGATGAGGGGTTGCTGCTGCAGCAAGCCATGACGGGGCCATTTTGGCCACAAGTGTTTTCGCTGGCACAGACGGGACTGGGTCCTGCGAGCTGCAGCTGTTCAGACGGTGGCCGTTGGCGTGCCTTGGCGAAACAACAACATCCAGGAACAAGACCGGGAAACCAGGGAAGTCAAGTGGGACAGAGACGCGCGCCCGTGGGCGAGAATCCCGTCTCCCCAAGCCAAGTCAAGTCCTCGGTGTCCAGCTCGGCAAGCTCTGCCAGCTTTTGCCGGCAACCCCGGTGCCGCGGCGCGTGCTGAGGTCGCATCAAGGACGCCTCGTCAATCTTGTCACTCGCATCCCGCTTCCGCTTCCGCGTTTGCATCATGTCCCGCGCCGTCCCCCGTCCTGACCATGGGGCAAACAGACTTTCGAAAGCTAGGACTGAAGTCCGTCACAACTCGTCTCGATAGGTCGAGATACCATTCCTCGGGCCCTTCCTATATGGCCCTCTCCCCTCCTTGAGTTCGAGCAAGAGAACGTGATGATGGATATTCCCGAGAAATCGGAGCAAGGTAACTCGTTCAGGCAAAGCCGGTTGCTGCGGTGAGAAGTCGGTTCCAACGGGCGTCTCTGGTGCGTCCTGCCTTAGTCTCGAATCTAGCGTCTTGGAGGAACGAACGCACCAACCCCTTGGAATTTCGGCGGTGGATTCACGTTCCTCATCTACGAACAATGGACCATTGTAAGGCGAAACGAAAGGAAGCTCGAGTCGAATTCCCATGCACGAGTCCGTTTCAAGACTCTATGCCTGCGCGGCGCATGTCGAGATGATGCAAATCCGAAGCCGTGTTCCTGGTCGGTGATTGTGCAGAGTTGGCCCAACTGAAGCGGACAGGATGGGGCCTGAAAACGCCTGTCCGCGCCCCGTCCCCGGCCATGCCACCACCACGACGCCTGCCTGCTTTGCTTGACAGATCAGTTGCACGGAAGGCGTTATGCCATGCCAACGTTCTTTCTCTTCATGTAAATTTCTGCCTTTTTCTTCTTCTTCTTTTCCTTCCTTCTTTTCCTCCTCCACGAGCAGGCAACGGGTACAAAGTGGGGAAGCCGTGTTTCGGACAAGGTCTCTCTGCTTGGCCCTTCACCTTCCTGAACGACTGGGGTTCCTTCAGCGTCTCCCGTCATCCCCAGCCTCTTCCTTACAACTGGGTCCACGATCCATGAAAATCCTCCCTGCCGTGATCTCCGTATTGCATCATCCCATCGTCGTTCTTGCCGGCCGATTGCCCTCTCTCTCCCCACTGTCCTAAACAGCCTTATCGTGCTTACGTACTCTTCAAATCTTGATCGGATATACCGGTTTCATCTCGGGGGCGAAACCCCCCATGTGAATGCCTTGCATCCGGCACCACTTCGCCGTCGCCGCCTGGGCGAGGAGAAAGCCTATCCAACTTTTTCCAACTTTTCCTCTGTCACCAAGCGCATCCTCCAGACTGTGTTGCCCCGTTCCCCGGCATGTTGTTATTGCTAAACCTCACTTACACACGTCCTCGCGGCAACTCGCCTTGAGGCGAAAAAGTTGGTACGTGCGTGCGTGCGTGCAATCCAGTCCGCTCATGATCCTCCGTGCACAATAAGCGCCCGAACACTCCGTACATACCACGAGGTCCCGGTGGCCCCTGCATGTCCCAGTTCCTCGGCCGACCCGGCCGCGCTACTCTGTTCTTGCCGTGACTGGGTTCCGCTGTCATCGAAATTAAGCTCCTTGGGCGAAACAACCGGCGTGGACTTGGAGGACCGTTGCAAGAAAAAAAAGAAACAAAATTCTTCCTGTGCTCTCTGCCGTCACCCCGGTCGGCCGGTCTTGGTTTCGGTCCAAAGATCACCTTGCAGATATAGCCTGCAGTACCGTCTCTTGCACTGAGGGTGTGCTAGGCATCGCACCGGGATCAACATCCTCTTGCTTCGGGAAGTGAAAAAAACTAGGTCGGTGTGTGCCGCAGAGGCCCCGAGTCTCTCCAGCAACAACGTCCTTTGCGCCCGTTCCTCAGACAGTCCTCTATGCCCGATGAGCCAACACAGAGCAGATCATCTCGGCTTGTTTCACTTGGGATGGCATGTGCCTCCAGAGACTCACTGGCGAATACTGGCTAAAACATTCAAATCTCAATGCTGCATCGATGCGCAGCTGTCATGGTATCTCGTGCGTGACCACGCCTAATTTCGCCGAACAACAAGCCCCGATCCACAAATCCTATCAGTACTATGGTCTAACCGCAAACCATTCGTAGACTTTCCAGGTTCATATTCAAACACCGTTCGCCATGCTGGTGTAACCATGAATCACTCATCCGCAAATCTCACTCCACGCGCGGGCCGCTCGGCGCTCTCACCTTCATCATCTACGGTGAAGCGAACGCGCTGGGTAGATCTAACCTCCAACTTGGCCGAATCTCCGTTGCCCTCAGCCTCGGGACTGCGTGAGCGCTTCAACCCGTTCGGAGATGTTTGGTACGCTGGCTCGGCTCCTTTCCCGTTCACAGCGGAATCTTGGCCCGTATGCTCAACTCCACCGAATTTGCCCCCGAAAATCGGCTGAGGATGGCTCAGAGGGACTGTCTCTGCTAGGTACTCGTTCCGGTCCTTTGCAAGAGGGATGATGCTAGCATTCCGGATCCAGTTGTAGATGGGACGATCGTCCAGGATGGACTTGCACTTCCAGTGCTCGATCTGGGACATGCTCTTCTTGCGCTCCACAATCACTTCCTCAATGCTACCCCGCAGGACGAGCGTCTCGACGGTAACAGGTTTCTGCTGGCTGATACGCCGGGCTCGGCCGATGGCCTGCGCCTGAATCTGCGGGTTTAGAACAGGGTTGATGAAGTAGATTCTCGAGGCCGCCTTCATGTCGAGACCGACAGCTGCCTGCGTCAAGTCCATGAGGATGACACTGAAGTAGGTTAGGACCTGCAGCAGAAGACATACACATGGATCAGACACTCACCGGAGCTCGGGATCATTGTTGAACGTATTGATATAAGACATCTTCCGCTCGTACGAGAGCTTCTTGGCATAAATAAAATGGCGCACATGGATCTAGTCATTGAAGTTAGCTTGTCTTCATCACTGCATAAGATTTGATACGGAGCTCACCACTTCAAGTATACCCGCCAGGTACCACGCCACGTTCTCGTTTTCATAAAAGATGATGAGTTTCTCCCGCTCCTGGTGCTCAACGATGGCATCGATCAGGTAGGAGAGTTTGGCAGACACGGTGGAGACGAGCTTCGCTTTCTTCAAGTCGTCCGGAAGGTCCTGCTCGGGAGGAGACTGGCCTGGTTTCTGCAAGACGCTCGCCCGGAGATGGCGAGGGACTCTCTCGCCTCCCAATCCCGTGTTACCTGCCAGGACACCTGCATGCTTCGATGGTCTCGAGTCGGCCTTGGTAACCTCTGCTACGGATGTGATTTGTCCGGCTTGTTCCTTGCGGCCCTCTTCCTCCAGCTTTCCATTCAAGAGGCTGTTCAGCTTTGCAGTGTCGCTCCGAGAAGAAGCGATCAGCTTCTGTGCAGCAAGCACCATGCCCGCATCGGTGCAGGTAGGGTTCGTCTTTCTGTCATCCAGGGACCAGGCTGAGCCAACGCCATTGGGCAGAAAGTCTCGGATGAAGATGGGTACCTCGTTGAACTTGTTGCTGAACTCTTTCAGCTGGTTGTTGATGGCAATGTGAGCGACTTCCATGGTCTGTTTGAGCAAAGCCTCGTCCTCCTCGCTGATGAATACCTTCTTCTCTTCGACAAACTGTTGCGCAGTCTCGAGTGACTTCTTGATTTCATCTCTAGTGAAGAAGGAGCCACCAAAAAAACTAGCTTGTTTCAAGTTGTGAACCAGCTGAAGCAGGGCTTTCCGCTGATGCGGGTCGAAGAAGTAGTCTCGGTCGACTCTCTGGGACTGGACAGCGTTGAAGATGATCATCATCGAAAAGATGTTGAGCGACAGCTTATCCTGGTAAGATCCATCCAGCACAACGACTTTCTCGTTGACCGACGGAAGTAACGTGTTGAGCTCAGACAACCGGTGTCTGATGAGTAGCGAGTTCAACGTGGCCCGGAGAACGCCCTTGCGACCGTTGCTTCGGGAGCTGTGCTGCGGCTGCATCACGTAGACGGCCCAGTCCGCCGGCGTGTCTGCCGTCTCATGTACGGAATTGGACCAAGGTCGAGCATTCAGATACAGCGATACTATCGCTCCAATCTTCTCAAGATCACCCTTCTCCGCCTCAGCCAAGGCCGCTGCCTTGTTGGCACTTTCAGGTGCGCCAGCAGTGGCGTTGGCGAATTGTCGATCGTCTACACCGAACAGCCCGGTGGCGGGTGTACCGGTCACGATCCAGCGAGCAGAGAAATACATGGCGTCGATGGCCAGAAGAACATTGCTCTTGTTTGCAATCCTGGCGTAGCCCAGCTTGTGACCTTCGTCGACGATGCATCTCTTGAAATGAACCTCTGACAAAGGGCAGTCAAGCATCATTGTCTCTCTCCAGATCCTGTCTAGCCGTGAATTGGTGACGAGGACTATATCGTATGTGGATAGTACTTTAGGTTCGGGGATCTTCTCGTTGTGGCTGGTGAGCTGCAGAACCTTCAGACCGGCCGGGCTGTCGGGGCCAACGGTGTGCTTCTCGATCTCCTGAACCCACTGCCGCACCAGGTTATTAGGGACAATCACGAGCGACGCATGGCTGTGCCAAATCCTCTTGGGTGGCCGTTCCACCGGAGGGCCGCGACGTCTGAGACGTCTAGGTGGGCGATTAGGAACGTGGTAGAAGCCGGGATTGCGCCTGATAGCATCAATGCACTTGGAATACACTGCTTCTTTCGGCTCGTATATGTTGAAGAAGGATTTCCAAGCGGCCGATCTGCTGGTAGCAGTGGATGCAGCCATGTCTGCGAGTGACCCGATACGCCTTCTCACGCGAACGTCGCTGCCCTGATGTAGTTCGGGCGTGCGGGTGCCCGAATGTCTGGAGGCAAGAATGACGGCAAGGCATATGAGCGTCTTGCCAGAGCCCATTTGTTCAGCTAAGATTCCGCCCCTGACGCCCTCGTAAAACCTAGGCTCTTTCAAAAGGACGCCGGCACTGAGATCGTAGTAGAAAGTCGCGCCGGCCTGGTCGGTTCCCCTGATAAGTCTCGGGTCGATGACCCGACCAGGCTGGCTCTCGCGTTGAATCATGACTGCAGCCGAGCGCCGCTGATAATCGTACAGGACAGAGGTCTTCTTCAGGCCGGGGAGATCGCCATCCAATACGCTGTAGGCAGCTTCTTGGTCGGTAGGGTTGGCAATCGTCTCCGGGGCGGGGTCGGGAGAGGGGATGGTGTTGAAGAGTTGAAGAAGGGAAACCGATTCATCGTCGTGGTCAACTTCCTCTTCGAACACGTAGTCTAAAGACAAACGCTTTGCAGATGGCTTGCCGGACCAAGTCTCTGGTGTAAGGTCTAACAGGGAGATGAGGGACTTGCGAGACTTGTGTAACTTGCTACGGGCTCGATCAATGAATCGATTATCAACATCGTCGGGCAAAACGTAGATTCTTGCGACGCCAGCCTTTCCATCATCGGGGTTGATCCTGAACTCCACGCGAATCCATTTCTCGGCGACAAGCGCTCTGTAATGCTTGAAGGATGCCGATTTCAGGAAAAGGTTGTCGGTTTGGTCGAACAGCTCGGCGGAGCTGCCACCGACGGCTGGGAGAGCCGGTGAAATGCATGTCCAGTTGCCGAACCTGTTCTGCAACTTCCCCCACTCATCATCTGTGAGTTCGCTATCCTTCTGAGTGATGATCAAGCCCCCCAAGGGAACGTAGCTCAGTGGTGACGACATGAGGCGAGGTTGACGCGTCACCCGGAGGCGCCCGGTTTAATTGAAATGCTCGACGGTACTCGTCATTCGGCAGAGGCTACGTAGGTCGGCCTCCAATACGAGGCAAGAGCGTGTTTATGGTTTTTTGAGTCGAGTGGGTGATGATTCGGATGGTTGATGGCGTCGTTTCAGTGTAAGAGGAAGGAAGGAGTGAGTTGAGTTAGGTAAGGTTTGGGGAAGGTGGAAGCCTGGCACAGTGTCAAAATAAAAAAGGGCACAGTCCAGCACGCAGCTCGTCCGAACAAGATACAGTGCGGCGCAGTCGATACAAGTGAGATGCGGCTAGAGCCTTATTTTCTCCTCGGTAAATAATTCTCATTTACTCTTTTCCTCAACTTTAACTGAATTATTTAGTCAACGAATTAAACCAGAAATTTGGCTCCCCAGCGCACAAACTCCCTTCGCCGTTGTTTCAAGGACCCATGTTCCCCCCTCCCCCTAACACGGCCCAGAGAAGAATAACGCCAAACGTCTCCATCTCACCGCCCTCGGAGCGGGATAACTGATGGGAACGGGCCTTTAGATCTTGCCGCCCTTGGGCTGGGAGGTGGCATTGATGGTGACACTCTTGCTCGCCTTGCCGGCGGCGGCCGTGTCGAGCTTGATGTTGTTGTCCAGCTTCTTCTGCTCGGCGTCAATCTTGGCCTGGTTGGAGGCGCCCTGAGCCTGCTGGACCTGAAGACCCAGAACCTCGAGCTGGAGCTTGAGGACCTTGTTCTTGATCTTGCCAACCTTGAGGGCGTCGGCGTCGGCTCCCGAAGCCTTGGCGATGGCGTCGTTGAAGCCTCCAGCGTCCGTCTCGGCGCTTTCGGCGGCGACGCGGGCGGCCTGAAGGATGGCCAGGTCGTCTTTGCTCACTCCCGCGAGATTGGCCTTGATCTGGTCGACCTGTGCCGTGTTAGCCTGGGTCCTTACGATAGATGTCAAGCCGAGAACGTACGGGGAACTTCTGAGCAACCTCAGCAAGAGCCTTGCCGCCAGTGCCGTCAGAGACCTGGAATTGAGAATAGTCCTGGACGGTCAGGATCTTGGCCTGACGCTTATCGACCGCGTCGACAGGGGCAGAGAGGCCGGTGGCGGCGAGGGCGAAGAGAACGGCGATCTTGGAGAAGTACATGTTGGTAGGCTGGTTGCTTGGTTGGTGGAAGGTGTGGGTAAGTTAAACAGAAGAATATTTACAGTTGAAAAGATATTGGTTGGCAAAGAGTGAGTGGAACAGCGCTGCTGTGGAAAATGAAAGGAAGGTTATTATTGAGTCTGATGTTGTTGATGATGAACAAAGAATATAACAGAGATTGGCTGGGGCAGCGGGAGGATCTTATACCAGATGTCCCTATAGTAAGTCTTGCCTCATCACTGCCCCAGGGCCCCCTTCGTAGCTCGGCGACCTTTGCCTTTCTCTGACAGGCAAAGCACATCATCTCACCTTCGCGACAATACCCCTTAGGCGCCCGACTCCTGGGTCGTCCGAACCAGCATCTCAAAGCTGTGATGGCTCCTGGGTGTCTGTCTCATCCGAGCCTTGCTGCAACATAAGGGTTGGGCGGGCTGCAACATCGACACCAACAGGAGCCAGGGCCGACCCTTGCAGAGCTCCATCGAGAAGACAAGCTTCTTTGCCAAGGGGCGGATCTACGAGCGCTGTCGATTACGTTCTCGGCGTTCCCCGACCCAATAAGACGAGGTATTTGGTTCCGACTAGGCCGTCTAGGCTGACTGCGTTCGACATCCCACCGGCTTTGGACATGTTCGAGGTTTGGGCTGTGGCGGTTGCGAGTTTGAAGTCTGTCGAAGATCATGGTGGATCTGCTTCAAACCCAAGGTAGCTAAACCCGATCGGGCGGTCCTTACTTGCCCGTCTGGAAGAAGTGGGGGATTAGCCTCCGGCCGCCAACTGGCGCGTGGGAAAAAGGCCACTAGCGCCAGGTACGGCGCCACTTTTCCGTCACTGTATCCACTTCGTAAACGTCCCAAAACTCCTCAGGTCTTCACTCCGTTCAGAAGCGATCCCGGAGTCGCTCCCGCCTTGACCATACGCTTCCCCGTGTGCCTCTTCTTCTTTTTCACGCTTAATATTGACTCCTGGCCCGTATTGCCTCTTCGGATGACAAGATCCGCGGACAAGGGAGCCTTGGATGAACCGTCACCGGGCGGCAAGCACATGGCACGCAACTCTCAATCGTGTGTTCGAGGTCCGACTCGAGCCTTTTTGACATCTCCGTCACACCTGACGCGCTCCCTCCCTGCACCCCTTCGCGCATCCCTTTGTGCATCCCACCTCGGTTGCGATGGCCCTCAAATCTGGTCGCGCCACCCACCTGGGCTGCTCAGATGGGTTCTTTGAGCGTGTTTCGAGTCTTGGTGCTCTGCCACTTCATGCAACCTAGACCAAGAGAAGATCGGACGTCAATCCTCCCGGCGATTCCAACAGCTTCGGTACCGCCCTCCGAGGAACCCCGACACCCTGATCACATAACAGAATCGGTCGATCTTAGTGGCTGCTCCCATTCAAAGTTGCACGACATCTCATCTCGGGACGTCAAGTGAAATCTTGTTCCGGATGGCAGGTGCCGTGTATGCACGCCACTGAGTCGAGAAAACCCTGTCTCCCGCCAGTCTCTGACGCTGGCGTTTGGATTAACGATAGCGAGATCCATCTTGCTCGGGCGAATCTTGTAGCGTCTTGCAGCCTGCTTGTCCACGCTGGAGGAAAATCTTTCGTCGACAGCCAACGGCTTTGTTTTCCACCATGGCGCCGCCATCTCTGACTCGGGGTGAGTCGACCTTTGACACTTGATGATCGACTATACTTTTCCCCGAAGTGCTTGGCGAAACAGCTCTGTTTTCATGCTTAATGCGAACTGGGACGGAGTCACGAGCAGCTGTCATGTTCCAGATAAACTGGAAGATGAGGTAAAGTAGTCCAATTCTCGGGTATCTGACTGACAGTACCCACGTCAAACGTCAAAGCTGGGAATTCCAGAAGTCCTCTTCATGCCCACAACGCCAGATCTCTCTTCGTGTCCAGAAGAAGAGAAAAAGAAAGAAAGAGATAAACCAGTCCCTAGAAAAACATCTACTCAGTAGATGTCGTCAAAGAAGCCAAACAAAGTCGTAAATGTCGTCAAAAATGGATGGAAAGCAACCAGCCTCCAACGCCAGGGTGTGTACCTGACCGTCTACCACCCGTTTGTAATCCTGTGTAACGTTCCCGTTCAGATGGACTCGACAAGTCCTGCCTTTCTAAGCCACTATTCAGTTCGCTCCAGGAAACCCCGAGGCGCCGGGGAACCCAGAAGGTCGCCCAGTGGGCGTCGCACCCGAGGGAACAGAAACATTGGCGCCGCCGTCGGACTGGTATACCTTGACGGAGTTGATGAGCCAGAACGCCTCGGTAAAGGCCTGCGGGTTCGCCGCCACGTATTCGGAGCACTGCGGCGCGAGCGCCTTGCACTCGTCGTTCTGCTCCCACACCTTGCCGGCCCAGTCGCCGCACAGTGCAATGTTGAAGACAAGGTTCTGCTGCTTGAAGTGCGAGGGGATGTCGCATCCGGCACCGCCGTTGAACTTGGCCAGCGGCTGGCCCCACGAGGCCGGGTTCGGGTTGCCCGAGCTGACGTCGCCGGGGATGGCGCTGCGCGGGAAGAACCACACCGAGATGGCCTGGCTGTTGAAGTCGACAGCGTAGACGCCGCCGCCGATGGCGTTGAAGCCGTCGCCGTAGTTCTGGTTGCTGGCCGTCGTCTGGCCGCACCCCGTGAAGGCCGTGCCAGTGTTGCAGTCCTTGTCCTTGAGCGTCGTCGACGAGAGCGAGCCGTCGTTGGTGACGCTGCAGCCGGGCCCCGTGTGGAGCGTCACCGAGTTGGACTCTTGCGTGTTAACGCCCTCGATGATGTCAATCTCACCCGAGTTGGGCCTGCGAGTGCGGTTAGATGACGGTTCATCTCATCTCATGGTGGTGGATTGAAGCACTTACCAGTTGGGGCCAAACATCCAGAACGCCGGCCAAACACCGCAGCTGCTCGTCGGCATGTGCTGGATATCGGCGATGAACAAGCCCGTGTCGAAAGCCTTGTTCGAGGTCACCCTCACCGACTGGCGACCCTGGCCTTGAGTCTTTGAGTCGACGCCCAGGTAGATGCCGCCCCTGGCGTAGCCCGCGAGGCCCTTGTCGTTGGCCGTCTGCGCGCTTGTGTACACCTGCGAACCTCTCGTGGGGTCCGCCTGGTCGAAGAAGCTGAACTCGTTGAAGAAGTTTGAGCTGTCGAAGTTGTCATGGAGCACGTACTTCTGCTGCGCTTGGGCCGGCCCGGGCGCGCAGGAGAGGAGGAGGGCGGCGGCGCCCACCAGAACCGTCTTCATCTTGTGCGAAGGCATCTTTGCGATATGCGATCGAGATCTTCCGTGCTCTTGAGAAATGCTTGCGTGTCTCCTTTTCTTTTTCTTTTTCCTTCAGCGGACCTCGACGGGCTGAAAGTCAAAGTTGTGTATGTGTGTGCTGGGATGAGGGGTTGAAGAGACTTGGGAAAGCCTCTAGGAGGGAAATGTGTCCAAAGACTTTTGACTCAAAATGGGACGAGGGAGAGTCAGAGGGACATCAATCAAGATGTATACGATGAAGAAGAAGAAGAAAAAAGAATGATGTCGTTGGTCCTGAAGTGAGCCGGTCACTTTGGGTGGTTGGTTGGGACGAGTTGGTCCTGTGTTGTTGCGTCGTTGGGCTGTCTAGGCAAGACCTAGGGATAGAGAAAGGGCGGCTGGGTTTATCTTCCGAGGAATTTGAACCGTTGTTTATTGTCCCCAAAAAAGAGTGGAAAGCCCAGAAGCATACGATGCGGCTGGGGCTTGGTATTGGTAGCGTTGGCCGTTCTTGGTAGACTTGGGAAGGAGCCAGGTCGGGGGACCTCGTGTCGAGTGAGTTGGTGAGATGAGTAATGACGCACAGCGCGCGGCCTCTTTTGGTTTTGCTTGGGGCCCTATTCAATAGAGGCTGACTAGACCGTGAAGTTTTGACTCAGACTCGGAGCCCTCGTATTTGCGCTAGGCAATGAAAAACCGGATGAGGGGAAGTGAAATGTGAACCAAGGGCAGAGGGATCAAGGAGTGGGACCTCTTGCGCGATGACGATAACTTCAGCCGGGAAGGATTGGAACAGGCGATGATGCCTCGTGGGGGCTGAGAAGCGAAGTGAAGAAAAGTGAATGGGGGCCACGAAACGGGCGGGAAGAAAAGCTGAAAGAGGCTGAAGGAGGTTGAAGAAGACCAACACTAAGCACGGCACATCGCAGGACTCACGAGCCGCAACCCCATCGGGGAATGCAGTCAGCTAAATACGGCTCGAGGAGAAGGCGATGGTGGAGGGGGGGGGAGACAAGAACCCCGGCCACCGGACACGATTTGGGGGTCGTTGTAAGTGACTTGTCCCATCCGAACCATCTCTCTGTCTTGTCACTCGTCCGTTCTACCGAGTTCTGCCCAAGGCCGCGTCCCCATAGGCACACAAAGACCCAGTTTAGACTTGAGCCCGGAACCATGGTGAGACTGTTTTTATTTTGTTTAAACCTCTCTCTTTGCTTGCCATCTCGGCCCAACTCCTCGGCGGTCCTTGCCCCCCCATGCTTCATGCGCCATGTAAGTGCAAGTGTGATTGCGCAAAGGAGTGTGCTCGAGGGTTCACTTCCAACGAACGACAGGTCCTCGTTTCGATGTGTTTACCCGCCAAGGCCTGCCATGGATGGTGATTGCCAGGGGAGTCCCCGGGAGACGGGCAAAGGCACGGTGGAGAGGACCCGGAGCGAAGATGGGGTGATTAGGGGCAGAAAGGGCTAGCCCAGCTCGTGCCTTTGCCTCCCCTCGACTCGGTGCCGAGAGAACGTTGTATACATACAGGATGCCATGCGAGTCCTCTGATGTCGAGACAAGGACCCAAGTTGACGTGTGAGTGGGTGGGCTTGTGCGTGCTTTTTGAGAAAAGACGGGGACTGGAGGGATTGGGGGGGGCATCGCTTGGGTTCATGGAGGGGGGGCGGAGGGATCGTCAAAGTGTTTCCTGGCTCAGGTACCCTATATCATGGGGACAAGGGGCGAGTGGGAGGGTTCAGATGGGACGAACGAAAA